TTATTGTTTTAGTGGATCGTTTAGTTTCCATTCAACTGTTTTTGTTTGTGACTGAAATTTAATAAAGATTTTATATTTGAAAGAGATATGCTTAATTACAGTGAAAACAACTTCAGCAGATTTAATTATGTGCAGAAATCTCATCAGTCCTAAATGCAGGCAGCGCCAACTTCACCGTTTTACCTTCTTCTTTGTAAATTTGCTTCAAGAATTGGCACTTTATCACATGTATTAAAAAATTGAGTTAGTTCACTGTTTATTTTCACAAATTTCTGAAAATTTTGTTGAAACTCATGGATAATCTTGATGGAAATTCTGTTAGAGCAGTTCCACAAGCTGAATAACTGAAATTTTATCTATAATTAACATAAATATAGGCAAATTATTACAAGAATATATTTTATAATGAGTTCTACAATTTTTTTGTTGAACCATGAGCATATTTACAAGCGGCAGACATTGTTACTGAAGCTCCACTCAAGCAGTTCATTAGTGGGAGGAAAATCGCATTTGTTATTCTCTAGATGCCAATATTCTAATTTTTATTTAGACTAAATTAGCCCTAAAATACAAACCTAAAAGCCAGAGAATCACTCGACATAGTGCCCCATCCCAAAGCTGAGTGTCAAAGCACCTAGTGGGAGAACAGAAATGCTCGAGTCTTTGCCAGGCTAGTGAGTGATGGTCCTCCATAGAGATGATAATAAATAGAGCTCTAATTAAAGAATTTCACCTCTCACCCTTATTCTATATTTCACACACACCAAATATAAAACACACTCACACATACATTAGAGATTACTCAGTAAAACAAACAGTTTTCTGAAGCTGAACTTGTTCATTTGACTTGTTTTGTTGTCCATTTCCCCTCTGTACACTAATTTGTGCATTTTAAAATCACACAAACACAGGTGTTGAAGCCCCCCACCCCCCATCCTTCTGTTCCCTCAGTGGTCTCCCTCTCATCTTACATTGGCTCTATCTGCTGAGTGATGCGTCTCTGCGTCAGCTGGATCACAGCCCGCACACATGGTCTCTGAAACATCAGAAACCTCATCACTCGCTCAGTAAAACGCACTGTTTGTTTTGCCGTTATGGTCCTCATGCAGTGAGCCTCACTTCTGGTATTTTAAAACATTTTAAGTCTGTTTATATGGCACCAACTCAGCAAAAGTCATGTAATGTCACCATACAGAAAGCATAACCATGTCTAATTCTAATCTGAATACATGCACAGTTCAGGAAATTTCTAATCCAGTCCCTTTGGAGTTATGAAATGCAGTTTTGTTAAATGTTTTCTTGCTTAGGAGAGCAGTGAATTAAAATCTAAATTGTGCTTTTGTCCTGAGCATGCATGAGGTGAGAGGAATCCTCAAGCAAAATGAAGTCTCCAGCAGCAGCAGTTTTAAATTGGACGCAATCTTTCCCACTTAATTGGAAATTGACATGACAGGAAAGCTGCAGAGTCAAACACAGAAGCAACATATCAAGAATACCTGGTGCCGGGGGTGGGGATGAGATGAAGAAAAAAAAAGACAATTATTCACCGCTTTCTCAGTCTAGCATCCAAAATAATACCCACACAGAAAGCTTGCACACTAAATCCTATGTGTTATTTATTTTTTCATTCAACCTTTATTTATATAGGTCAGTCTCATTGAGCCTTGAGGACTCATTTACAAGAGAGAGCTGTTTTTAACAAAGAATGATGACAACAGTAGACAATCATAAAAGAAGGCATATAAATTGAAAAAATAAATGGAAGAAAATTATATTAAAAAACGAAACAAAAACAGCTACATTGTAAAGCGAATATACTGTATATGGTAAACAGTGCACACAGTATAAATACAGTCAATATAAACAGTATAAATGGCATACATATACAGTACATATATGTATACTTATATGTATACAGTATAAACAGTATAAATATAAACAGTCTATATCAGGACTATTTGACTGGCAGCCCGCAGGCCATTTCCGGCCCGGGGGTGACTTAAATCTGGCAACTTCATAAAAAAACCAAACCAATTGGGGTGGGGGGTGGGGGGGGGGGGGTTATACTGTTTGGGTTCTGTTTATTGCATGCAATGCAATAAAATAAATCAACCAAAATCTTTACTGACGGATGAAAAGCTCCAAATCAGTGCAAAAAGTACAAAATTTGTGAACACCTGCGCAGCTTAAAGTTAAAGTAATTAAATTAAAATGTAACCACATAGTGACTGTGCTTAATATAAGAAAATACTACAATTGCTAAAAGGGTTTTGAATATTTTTATGTTAAGTTTAAACCCTATTTTTTCCTCCTTCGTGTAGGACTACATAGAAACAGAACGACTGCTGGCCTATGATAACGTCAACCAGGAAGCGTTGCTTTCTTACGCCCGTGAAGCTGCTGACTTTGGCACCAACTACGAGCTGCCGTCGCTGGACTACGCCATCAACCACTATGGACAGCCGGACGTAGCCATGTTCGACTTCACCTGCATGTACGCTTCAGAAAACGCTGCCCTAATCAGGGAGAAACATGGACACCAGCTACTGGTCGCGCTGGTGGGAGACAGCCTTCTGGAGGTATGAGAAGCTGTGTGTGGGTAAGTGTTGTCAGGGTTGGCCTTCATTGTGTTTTTACTGGCATCATCATCATGTTCTCTGCTTACAGCCCTTCTGGCCGATGGGAACGGGCTGTGCTCGGGGTTTTCTGGCTGCATTCGACACTGTTTGGATGGTGAGGGGCTGGGCACAGGGAAAGAACTCCCTGGAGGTACTGGCAGAGAGGTGAGCCCTACTTCCAGTAACTTGATATGAGGACTTAATTTTTTTTAACAATATTCAGACAGCTGTTTATTTACAGTTAGTGTAAAGGTTCCAGTTCAGAGCATACTGACTGGAGCTACAAATCATTTGAAAATCTGACATCTGTGTCAGTTTGCTGTAGATTTTCCCAGAAGAATTTCTCATGTAGACTGGAGGTTTTCTTCTTCATCCATGCTCAGACTTGAGTCTAAACCAAAACAAATTATTTTTCGTACATATTTTTATTTGTTAATTCATATTTTTGTTTATATTTTCTTAGCTGAGGAGAACACTTCGCCTGAGTATGCTACACATGTTTTAAATGGTTTTAGCTGACAATTTGTGTGACTGCAGTTGGGGTTGTAAATTATTAGTCTTGTTTTTATGTATGCCTCAAATCAAGTTTATCTTTACCCACTTCTTTCTTTTTGGGTTGCAGGGTTCACTGGTGCCCATGTCCAGCCATAAATATCTTTTTTTTTTTTTTATCACTTTGGGTGAAATTTGGATTACAGCAGTGGTTAAAATGGTACAACTACACAAGACAAGACACAAAATGCTGCCAACCACTCCACCAAATTCAACTACAAAAGTGTGCTCACTTCAATTTCAATAGTAAGAAAATAACCAAAAAATGGCTACCTATATGCCAGAGAGGGTTTAGCTAATTAATTGCATTTATTGCACTTGGAACAAATGAAAATTCATATTTACCGCACTTTGCCTTACTGGTACTCATCCTCGACCAGATGGAAAATTAGAAAATGTGGTCATTTCTGGGTAAAATTGACTATGCTTAAATTTCTGTTTGTTCCAAATTCCTGTAAAGGACCATTGCTGCATGCCAATAATCTCACTGCCTGTATTCACAATATGCTATGCACTTCCTTTGTGCAGTGAGAGGTTACATACCAAGAGACATGGGAACTGGTTAAAACAGTTAGTTCCCATTGAGCTTCGAAGACTCATTTGCAAGAGAGACCTGTTAATTAATTGACACTTTTCAGTGTTTGGTCTACTCAAAAAGCTCTGAGTCTGCACCAAAGGCAGTCTTTGCACGCTCTCATATGCAGATATATTTTCAGGTGTCACCTAGAAATGCACAGTTGTGTTTTAAAGGCTGTGACTTCAAAGGCTCAGCCTGTGTGCAAGCTTAGACATGAAGTTAACATCCAAAAATTGTCTTTTAAAACAGATTTTGTTCTCTAATAACTAGTATTTGTTTAATATTTGTACACATTATAAAACTAATCACATATGAAAGTGTTACCGGTAATGCTCTGGCTCCACTTGCCAACTTTAAACACATTACTGTAACTAACTGTGGTTCAGATCTTTAACTTTGAAGTGACTGAATGTAATTTTAAACCGGAAATCTTCTTTTTTTCTCAGGGAGAGTATTTACCGTCTGCTGCCTCAGACCACACCAGAGAACATCAGTAAAAACTTTGAGCAGTACACCATAGATCCATCTACACGTTACCCAAACCTAAACTCCAACTGTGTCCGTCCACATCAGGTGAGTCTCTGACCCCAGCGTTGTCTGAAACATCTCACAACAGAAATAAGAAGTAATATGTACTTTTTAAATTGGTTCTTACCTCTTTTATGTGGCTTTGTGTTTATTTCAGGTGCGTCATCTGTTCATTGATGGTCAGCAGGACTCAGGTCTGCTTGATAAACGAGGGCCGACACGAAGATCAGTCAACCTGTTCAGAAAAGGTGAATGTTTCCCTGAAACTCTACTCAAGTCACCAAAAATACGTCTATTTTTTGGCTTTGGCCACTGAAAACATCGGGTACCTGCAGTGATGTCCAGTTTAGTCTTTTAAAATCGTCTTTAAAAATAAATCTTCAACCTTTTAAAGTTTATTTTTATGTATTTAACTTGGTTTTTTTTTTATAAATTTTTCTTCAGTCCTGATTAGAAACGTTGCATGTCATTACAGTGTGACCTTAAAACAATTGAGAACCCAAAAGAAATGTAAGGGAAAATAATAAGAATAAGTATCAAACTTACTGGTAAAACTATCTAGCTCAAGCATATTAACTGCATCTGAATGTCATTTCGTTAAAAAAGGTAAAAATTCTGCAAAATTTTGACCAATGGCTTGAGGGATGACTTATCCTTCCACTTTACGACAAGTTTTCAGCTAACAGCTTTTTGGAAATCAACTTTTTGGAGTTAAAATTCTGTTTTATGTCTCTCAGTGTTGTTATTTTTTTATATTTTTCCCATAAATTCAACTAAAGGAATTGGACCAAATTGTTTCTATAATTGGATGCTGGTATCAAAGAGCCTAAAGACCACATTAGATTTTTTTTTTAATATCTGAGTTATCTGTTATGAGTTGACAAAACACTTGTTCATGCCTAGAGTTTAATAAATGTGTTGCTGATCAGGGTTGGATTAAAAGATCAGAAGAACAGATACAAGGACCGAAGGCAAATGAGTCAAATATCAGACAATGACCAGAAGAAAACTTTAAAAGAGCTTCAGAAAGGTTGACGATATATCGACCGACGATACTGCACAGTATTCTTTAAGTTCTTTGACAAAATTATAAATAAGCTTACTTTTATAGGTAATAAAAGCTTAAACGCCATCTTTGCAAAGAAGCTAAGTTTCAAGGAGAAAGTCTGACAGACCTCAGCTCAGAGTGGAAAATGTGTTATTTGTGGGGGGGTTATTTTCCTGACCCTTCCCTGCAGGCATCAACAATACAGCTGGATAAAACGGCACTCACCTGAGGGCTAAACAGGACGTGCGCTGACCTGAGATGCTCAAACAGATGTAAAGTGGATTTAAAGAGACTTTATTGACAATAAACCATCACAATATGGCATCTGTTTTATTTACACACTGGAAGCAACAGTAATTTAATTTAGTTATTTTTAAAAATATAAGCGTGAATGCTGATTCTGATTTCTGTTTTTTTTTATTGTTTATTTTAGTTAGCATTTTGCTTCTTTAAGCTTTTTGCTTGCCCTTTACTACTTAGGTTTAAGGTAAAATGTTGCTCTGTTTAGCTTTTAGCCACTGGTTTACTGTTTTTAGCTTTTGGCATTATTTTGCTTATTTTAGTCCATTTTGATTTCTTAAGCAAATCAACAAATAGAAAATGAAGTTGCATCAAAATGCTTCAAACATAAAATAAAAGCTGAGAAACACAGAAAGCTGACTTTCACTTATGAACTTTTGGAGCTAAAACTACTGCAGACCAGTTAATCAGCTTTGTAGTACAACTCAAAAATGATGATTATGGTATTTATTAAGTTGGTTTTATTCTGCTTATTCATTATTTTTCCATTTGGGCGTGTTCAAACAGTCTGCTCTGTTCTCTGAGGTGTAAATCCTGACCTGTGCAGGCAACCCTTTTAACCTTTAGGTCAGCTTGTAGCTTTCACTGTGGACAGTGGATCTACTTGTTCATCTCACATGGCTTGAGTCCAGAAGAACCTGCAGTTCAAACATTTCACGGTGTCAACACCATTTCAGAAACTTTCCAACCCTGACAAAAATAAATCCCTCAGGGGAAAATATAACGTTTCTGGCATGAAAATGCTCTTTCCTTTGATGCTGTGTGGTATTCTTTAAAAGGCAGCAATGACTGACATGCTGCTCCTCTCATGCAGAGTCCGAGGTCCGACCCAGCCGCCTGCTGACCTGGTGTCAGGGGCAAACCCAGGGATACAGGGGGGTGGATGTCACCAACCTCACCTCCTCCTGGAGGAACGGCCTGGCTCTGTGCGCCCTCATCCACGGCCAGAGGCCTCATCTGATGTAAGAACGTGCACACACAGGGTGTAAACCAGAAAGTTTTAATCAAGTCAAGTCAATTTATTTATAAAGCACATTTAAAAACATTAAATTGTAACCAAAGCGCTGCACAACAATAATAAAATAAGACAAAGGCAGAAATAAAAACAACAAAACATAACTTTAATTAAAATCATTTATTCTGTTTCAGGTTTATTTTCAGAGACGGGATCATATAGAAATTCTTATTCTGTGCGTCTTTCTCTAACCTGTGACGTAAAATAAAAAAGTTGTTGAGAGACAATGTTAACAAAATACGAAGGCAGTTTTTTATGTGCAAACATAACTGTTCAAACGTTGAACATAATTGTTTTTCTTGTCCTGTTTTATGATCTCCTCATCTTAATTTCAGCGACTTTGACTCTCTGAATGAGGAGGATGTGGCGGGGAACAACCAGCTGGCGTTTAACGTGGCCGAGCGAGAGTTCGGCATCCAGCCGGTGACCACAGGGAAGGAGATGGCAGCGAACGCTGAACCCGACAAGCTGCTGATGGTCCTTTATCTCTCCAAGTTCTTCGAAGCCTTCAGGAAGTCGCCGCTGAACAACAGCGGTCAGAGTCTTCACTGTTACCTGTTCCAAAAAGACTGGTCTGTCTTATGAGACTGGGTTCAACTAATTAATACATGTTGAATGTTATTCACCTCCTGAGTGAGCATTTTAGTTTTTAGTGTCAGGATGTTTCGAGTCAAATCAGTAAAGTTGGTTCATTCAACAAACAGCATGACAGACTCAGAGTGCATCAGGTCTACAGAAGGAACAGAACACTTCAGAACCTGGAGTTCTGTGGACAACTTTTCGTTTGAATCTGCAGCTTCTTGTTGCACAACTGTGGTCGGGTCAGTCGCTCCCAGAGACTGGACTGGTATGCGTGCTATGCATGTGGAACCTTATCCAGTCACATCCAGAGGCGTTCCTCCACAGAAGCTGCTGTGTCAGCTCGTTCCACATGCCGTGCATTAATGTCAGCCTGCAGCAGACTTCTGTGTCACCACAGCGATCCTCTCCTCTGACAGACGCAGAGACAGCTCATTTTCAATTTTGACCCGCCATAATGTTTGCACTTCAGGTTCTGGTGCTGCTACAACAGCTTTGTGTTAATTAAGAATGCTGCAGTTACGTTGCAAAATCACAAAGATGGTCATTCACGTGGCTCGAGTTTCCTTTTGGTTTACTTTGTTTACATTGAGTGCGTACCTGCATTTTAGAGTTGCCTATCACTATATCTGGAAAGCTACCGGAGTAAACTGTCTTACCATTCAGTATAGTTCAAAATGTTCAATTGTTTACTTTGCAGTGACAATCTTTTAAAATATATTTTATTTATATCTGTATTTTGAAGTGGAGTACAGTAGTCCCTCGTTACTTTGTGGTTTGTTTATCGGGGACTCGCTCTGTCGCGGTTTTTCTAAATAAGATTGTACATGACACACAATTGGCTGACTGATGGATGAGGCACACAATCAGCATGGAATTTTTATTTAAAATAAATTATTTAAAATTATTTAGCACCTGTGTGCAGCCCGAGCTGCAGAAGAAGCTTCCTCCTGCAGCTGATCAGCTGATCTCCGCTCTGCAGCGGAGAATCAGAATGCTTTTTATTATCCTTGCACAGTAAAATACAACAAAATTACTTTCCGTACAGTCATCCTAATGATGGACAGAAGTGTACAGGGGGCTGCAGCTTCTAAGATATGCTGCCCCTGTTGCTTAGATAAGAAAAAGGGAAGAAAACATAAGGAGAGAGATAAAAAAAAGATCTCTCACACCGTGTTCTTGACAGGGCACGGTTTGAGGCATAAAAAAAAATCTACCACATCAAAGCAACATAAATAGACATCACAAGACAAAGAGCAAAGCAGAGACGGAGCAGAGGACACGTCTGCCTTCCACCAAGAGCAAGCAAGAAAAAGAAAAGTGGGCGTGGCCAAGAGCAGCAGGTGGCAGAGAGCTGAAATCATGACATTTTGTGCTCTTTTAGAGCGTTTAGAGTTTAGAAACATTGTTTAGAATATTGCAAGAGTGTGGAAAGTATATACTATTCCTACTTTGCGGTTTTTCACTTATCACGGGGCTTCAGGGTACGGAACCCCCGCGATAAACGAGGGACTACTGTACCTCCATAAACTCTGCATTCACTAATATCTCATAAGTTATCTGAGTTCATTCAAATCACTTATCACTTCTTATTTGTGTGTTTGTCTTCCAGTTTGTAAACAAGCAGATGAAAACGGTGAAGAATATGAATCTAAAACCAACCACAAACTGCTGAACCTGCCTCAGCCCAGGAAGAGGATACCCAGGGTAAAATAAAAACCCCATTACCTTTTCCTCCTCTCTCTGTGTAATCAGTTTACTGTAAGGATAAGACAGCTTCATGCCTTTATGTGATTGCCAGGTGTGTACTTATTTAAATATAAACTTTCGATTAAGTGAGAAAACTAACCTAAAGACTGAGGCGATGTTTGCAAATCAGCATTAATGTTAAATCTACAAGATTTTCTGCTCTTAGTCAATGGAGCGTTTAATCAGATTCCTCATTTCTTGGCGTGGTCAGTGCATAGACAAAACAGTAAATGTATTTGTTTTATTTATATTTACATGTGCATATTCTAATTAAGTTTTTATGACATTTTATTAATAAGATGAAGATTACAGCAGAGTTTTCCCTTATTGCTTTAGAGTAGTGAATAAGATTTTGCAAGAACTAAGAAGTAAATTTCCCCCAAAGGAATATAAAAATAAATTTTAACTAATTGTAATCTTTAACGGCTGTGTGAGCAGATCATTCTGTTCTCGTTTGTCCCAGGACGATAAGAAACTGGAGGATGACTCTGTCCACAAGAGACGACGAAGGGGGAGCAATTACCTCACAGAGGTGGGTTTATTCAAGCTCAAATATCTGTCTTAACTTTAACATCTTCAAAAAAACAACTTTAACATCTTCACTTCCTCTCTGAACGGCTGTGCGTCCCATCAGCTGTCCTGCCACAGTGCGCCTCCTGCTGGAGAAGATGGAGAGCTGCGGGAGAACAAGGTCCGCTCCATGGCCACTCAGCTGCTGGCCAAGTTTGAAGAAAACTCCTCAACAGCAAAGATGCACACCAAGGTGAGAGCACGAGGTCGCGTGCGCAATAAAAATATTTATAACTGAAGTATTCAGGGTGGTCTGGGTTTGTATGGGTCGTAAAAAGTGCTTTTTGGTGTTTTGTTTCTGTTTTGAACAAAACGTTTTAACGAATCCCTTTATTTGAAAAGGTGCAACAAGTGTCAGTAAACTTAGTAAAATATTTAGTTTTTATTGTTGCCTTTCTGGAAAAGTTTTAGTAAAAAAATTAAATAGCTGAACTCAGAGTAAAATGGAAGTCCTCAAGCATGAATAATAAATAAATTGAATCATGTAGGGATGAAGTAAATGTTTGTGGAAATAATGAAATCAGCTGTTGTCACCTCTCGACTGGACGACTCGACCCGACTCAGAATCAGTTATGAACATTATTTATCAGTGTTGTTTTAAAGTTTATTTATTTATCGTTTTTTACTGTGTTTTATTTTTATAATGTCCTGCTTTTATAGTCAAATCAAATCCAATTTTTCATTTGTTTTTAATTCAAACGTAGCCAAAAATAAGTATTGCTATTGCTTAAAGTATGCTTTAAGTATGCTCTCATTTTCTTTTACTGGATTAAAACTTGGTTTATTGAAAATTTTATACAACTTTTTCAGTTTTAAAATTTTGTGCTCTATTGCTTTTATGTCGAGACATTTTCTTCTCCTTTCATTTCATTTCTGTTCCTCTCTTCTCTTTTCCTTTTCTCCTTTCATTTCCTCTCCTTCTTTCATTTCCTTTCCTTTCTGCTCTTCTCCTTTTGTTTTCATTTCCTCTCCTTTCATTTCCTTTCCTCTCTTCTCATTTAATCTCCTTTCCTTTCCTCTCCTTTCATTTCCTTTCCTCTCTTCTCTTTTCCTCTCCTCTCCATTCCTTTCCTTTCTTCTCATTTTGTCTCCTCTCCTTTCCCTTCCTCTCCATTCCTTTCCTCTCCTCTTCTTTTCTTTTCCTTGATATCCTTTCCTTTCAGAACTTGTCCAGTCCATCCTCTTCTCCTCCTCTGTCACCTTCCTCCACCCCATCATTCTCCGATGAGGAAGATGAGGAGACAGAAAACCCCCGTTTTGCCAAACCCAAAGATTCACCTTGTCTCCGTCCTCCTCCTCCTCCTCGCCCCAAGTGGCAGGTACTCTGAGCGGTGAACTTCTACACAACGTTTAGAGCTTAGAGTGGTGCTTTGAATGTAATCAGTACCTTCTGTGTGAGTTCTGTTTCTCCTCTGGTTTCCAGCCTTCTGTTTACCTTCGTTTACTGGAGAACCCCAGCTCTGTGGTTCAGCAAACCAGTTCCTTCTCCTCTCCTGAGTCGTCTTACAGTCAGAGCAGCCACAGTCGTTCTCCGTCACCGCTGCGCTCTAAAAGCCCTTTAAGTGCTCCTCGCTCTCCTGACTCTGCAACTCGTTGTTTCTCAGTTTCTGCTTCAGATGCTGATCTGTCCTCTGACGTGTCGGAGCAGCAGGTGAATTTCAGCCCACGTCTGAAGCAGGTGTTTTTTTGTATCACTCCCTTCTGTATGACCTCCTCCTGCTTTCCCCTCAGAGCAAAAATCAAAAGTTGTCGGCTGGAGCATTTTCCCGGAGGAGTATAAAAGAGAGAGCTGTCCTCCTCTCCTCCATGTTTCACGGGTCCAACAAACCACCCGCTGCTCTGTGTGGTTCACAGGTTGTGTATCAAACAAGAGAACATATTCATACCTGAACAACATCACTGGATGTGGCAGCATGAGCATGATTTTAGTCACTTTCATTTTTATAGACTATCAGATTCATTGTCTGAACGCTGACTCAGCATTTATTTTTGCTTTCTTGGCTTTTATTTTTCCATACAAGTTTTTTACAGTCGAACTGCTTCTACTTCGTGCCTCTTTAGCCATTCATACACCAAAATGTTCAACTCGGTTCAGGAAAAGGCTGCCATCACTGCTGTACTTTTCAAAGTAACTTGTTTTAAAATATTTTTCTCACAGAAAAACAGAGATACAGTATATGTTTAGTTCTTTCAAAACCGCTTCCCCATACTGGCTCTATTTTTGTCTTTTGATGCTACTTTCAGATATTAGCTTACATTTTGCAACTTTTAGCATTTAGCCAACCTTTTGATGCTTTTACCTTTTAGTTTGTTTTTTGCTGCATTTAGTTTTTGGCTAGCCTTTTGCTACTTTAAGCTAGCTCATTTTCCTTTTAAGTTCTATAGCATTTAGCTACCACAAAACTCAGTCTCACTTTAAAAACTCTGTTTCAGCTTCTTCAGCAAATAAAAACAAAATAGCTCAGTGCTCAGCGTTCACACTGCATGTTCACAGGAAATGGTTTTCTTTCAGTTAATTATTTAAAACTTTTAATTCTTGTTCCTTCCAAAGCCACATCATCTAAGGGTAATATTTATGGTGTTTGGCTGCATGTACATATATTTGATTTGGACACAGAATTTGTTTGACCTTCACTTTTGGGTCTTGTTCTTTACATTTAAATACATTTGTTATCCTCATCCTTTAATATCTGTCTGGCTCCACTTCTATAGGAGGAATTATCAGCTTCATCTTCTACATCACCTCCTCCTCCTCTTCTGTCTATATCTAAGAGCTCCGGACTGTACCCTGCGGTCCACCCTGTCCCTGATCTGACCGTCCAGGCCGGTTTTTCTCCTGAGCATCTGGACAAAATTCCCTCATCCTCTCCTCTGTCCTACACCAACTCTGAAAACACTGAGCAAACGTCCCTTCTTTGTGCTGAGTCCTCTGCTCCCGACAATGAAACATCTTCCATGTCTTTGTCTCACACCGATGCGAGTCAGAGCAGCTCCACTTCTTGTGATGCTGAAAGGAGAAATGAGAGTTCGCTGAATAAGTTGGAACATGAGAACCTTCACGGAAATGCTCAGCAGTTATTTCTTACTAGCAAAACAACTGAAAAGGATTACCTGAAGGTACAAGTTTCTCTTACATAACACTGATGATTGTTTCATTTCTTTGCAACTCTCACATAAACACACACACAAAAAAAGTTTAAACCTAAAACACAAAATTAAATTTTGAGTTAACCTGTTTCGATGCCAAATGTGTTTCAAACACATGGATTGGTGCTAGCATTTTCATTTTTCTTTGCTGTAATAAATGATAGTCACAAACTTTATGATACTAACATTGTGATAAATATACAGAATTATGGATACCTATAAAATACTTTTTGTGTAATAAATATTCCTAATAAAAATGCAAGATTGTGCAGCATATCACCACAAATACCGTATTTTCCACCATATAAGTCACATCTTTTTGCATAAAATTGCAAGTTCTGCGACTTATACACCGAAGCGACTAATATACTTTTTCCCTAATATTTATAACCCAATTTTTGACTTTGAAATATTCATTCATAGACATGAATCGGTAAATATTACCAGTTGCAGCCACTAGAGGGCCCTCTAGGCTTTTATATGTTGTTCCTCTATCCCGCTAACAGAAAATCCTATTTTGCAGATTACAAACTGCAGGTACCGGTAATAAAAATATGCAGCCCAAAACGGTAATCAAGCAGCAGAAAGAACGTTTGTAACGCGCCGCGTCAGCAGTGATGCATAATAGATGCGACTTATATGGCGAAGCAACATATTTATGTTTTTTTCCACTTTATTAGACATTTTTGGACTGATGGCCCTATACACCAGTGCGACTTGTACATCGGAAAGTACAGTATGCAAAAGTGTAGAAAGCAAACAGTATGTTATGAATTATGTTAGCTGAAACAAAATTCTGATATTTTGATACGCAGTATATATATATTAATACTACAATAATATTTAAGTTCATCACTTCATGTATATTCTCTCATATAAATTTCTGAAGGCAAACCTTTAGAAAGGAGCTAAAATATTAATTTTGTCAGTTTTCCAGATTTTTATTTAGAAAACTGTTTCAATTTACCCTGAATTCATGGCAACTTCCTCACTCGTACTTTGTGCAACAGATTAAAGAGCAGGTCTATGAACAGTTGTCCAATTGATCCTCGTTTTGCTGTTCATTTAGTGTGCTGGGAGCTGCGACGAAGAGTGCGCCACAAGAAACGCTCCTAAATCAGTCGTTGGCTCTGAGAGTTGTCCCTCCGCAGCTCCTAGTTACAGTAAAGAGGTACAAGTCGATACCTCAATCCTAAAATCTGCTCTCTACCTCAGGTTGGACATTATGGCTTCCATTTTTCTGTAACCTCCTCCCTTTTTATTTTCCCCTCACCTGTTAGCGTACAGTTGGGAAGGTTTCCTCAGCCATTGATGCTAAAGCTCAGATTCTGGCCGTCCTTTATGAGACAGACCACAGGCCCAATGCCCCACCGGTAAGATGTTTGTGGGTGCAGAAGAAGCTAACCCAGAATGAATGGCGCTTTTAAAGTGATAAAGCTTAAATACCAGCATTGCTACATTTGATGCTAACACTTTGACTTGTGTGGCTTTAGTTTCCTAACCAGGAAGTGTGTTTTTAACACATGGGAAACGAGGATTTGTGTATTTGTACGTTAACCTTTTTATTCTATACAAGCTTGCAGATATTCCCAGCTTGCCTGAGACACGCTCTCTGCTGAGGTCCTACAGCTTGGCTCTGGACGGGTTGTGTTCAGACTCCCTAAAGAATGCAGATAAAAGGGGTACAAGGAGGTGTCTGGACCCCTCCTAAAATAAACTAAGTGCGCGATGAGGCAGTGCAGAACTGTTCAGCGTGATCCGATCACAGTCAAACAGCTGAAAATATTTTAAACAGATCTGATCTGTCCAGTTTGAGACTGACGCAGTTTCGTACTGTTTTAGCTTCATGTAGTGTCACTACTTTTACCTTGTTGTCCCCTGTCGCAGGTCAAAGAGGGGGAATTGGAAACATATTGAAATAAGTGCGATAATGACGTCCAGTTTAGAAGATTTGAAAGAAAGAATAGAATGCATGTAAATAGTTGCGTGCAGTTTTTTTTTTATCTATCCCTACGTGTCTATTTTAACTTATTTTACTGGTTGAACTAAATAATTTAGATAATTTTAATAATTCTAATGGTTATTAAGCTGTTTTAGTGCTGTGCTGTAAATTATGTTCCTCTTAGAAGAGTTAAAAAATGTTTAGTTATCTAAGTAAAGTGAACTGACGTGTGTCTTTGTCCTTTTTATTTTATCTTAACATTTCTAGAAAACGTTTTCATCAGTCAGTTTTTTTTTTAACTTCTGTGTGTATAAGCTTTTGGCAGTGTTTTGTTTATTCATCATTTTATTGTTACACTTAAGTAAACATCTATCTGATCTGATCTTTTCATAAAGTTCTTATTATCACCATTAAAAGGATGGTTATAGCAATGTTATGTAAGTTTTTTGTTTGTTTTTTCTTTACACCTTCATGTAGCAACTAAAACTAGAAATTATACATTTAAAATGATCTTTTCTGAGAACTTTATGTTCCATTATTTTGGAGGAATGTGTTCACAGATGTGGATTATCTCGACTGACTGGGTCTTTATTATTGGGTGTTGCTTTTTGAACTAACTGACTAGCTTCAGTTTTTATTTTAACATCTTTTCACTAGTTCATACAGTTTTACTTGCGTCTCTGTGCGTTTTACTGTTATTGTTTCTTTTTTCTAGGAGGAAAGCTCTAAAACGTACGATGAAGGTGTGGCGTTTAACCCTCAGCTGTCTTCTTCCCCTCAGTGTGTGGGACGTAAGGAGTTCCCTCCTGGGCTCGGGGGCAGCGACGTCTGCCACTTCTGCTCCAAACGGGTGTACGTGATGGAGCGGCTCAGCGCTGAAGGCTTCTTCTTCCACCGCGGGTGTTTCCGCTGTCACGTCTGTAACTGCACTCTTCGTCTGGGTGGACACGCGTTTCACTCCCAAGAGGGTAAGTTTCATCCACTCTGACCTGGAAAACTCTTTTCTGCAACGAGCTCTTACGCCTCTTATTTGCCTTTCTTTAATTATATAAATTGGTATTTCCAAGGTTTTGTTTGTATTTGACTCAGCTGACTAGTTGCATTGATTAACAGCAGATTTATTTTTACTTTGTTCACAGCCAAATTCTACTGCAGGATGCATTACGCCCAGCGCCAGTCCAGCTCGCACCTGGACTGTGCTGGAAGGAAAATGGTAAGACACACCGGAGAGACGATCATTTCTTTATCTTCTTACAGCAAATGTAGCTGCTGTTGCACAGCTCGGGTGTGTGTTGTTACACACCTAATCTCCCGTTCTCAAATGGGTTTTAGTCACACTTTATGTTGTGCCTTTGTTTTGTTTATTGTAGATGACTCTAAGATATAAAATAAATACTGAACAATTCCACTTACTTGTTTTATTTCCATAAGCAAAAAAATGAGCTCAGTCTTCTGTGGAAACTTTAATTTATAGATATTTCCATCCATCATCTTTACCCGCCTCTTCCTTTTTGGGTCACGGGGGTCGCTGGTGCCCATGTCCAGCAATCACTGTACGAGAGGCGGGGGACACCCTGGACAGGTCTCCAGTCCATCACAGGGACACAGAGACAAATGAGACAAACAACCATTCACTCTCTCACTCACACATAGGAACAATTTAGAGTTACCAATCAGCCTAACATGCATGTTTTTTGGTCTGTGGGAGGAAACCGGAGTATCCAGAGAAAACCCACATATGCACGGAGAGAACATGCAAACTCCACCCACGGGATTTGAACCAGGACACCCTGCTCGCTGAGAGGCAGCAGCTCAACCATCTGTGCCACCGTGCTGCCTATAGATATTTCAAGCATTTTAATTAGCAGCTGTAAAAACAAAAATGATTCAAACGAACCAGAAATGTTTTCCCTGAAAATGTGCTTTTCTTTAGTGAAGTGAATTGACTTGTCTTTTCTTCTATGATTTATTTTATTAGTCTATTTTTAATATTTAGGTCCATTTGTAGTAATTTTTTTGCACTTTTTTATGTTTTTAGGAAGACCAAAGCCACGTCAGACCCTCGCCTCTGGACAGCCGGATCTTCCCCCCCACGGGCAGAGTCCAACCCGCAGGTACCCTGGTTTCCTTGCTTAGGCGAGGTTTGAGCTGGCCGAGGCGTGCTAGTCGGGCCGTGTGTGTGTTGCCTCGACAGCTGGTGGGAAGCGTGTGCGAGTCTTTCGCAGCTGTGGGCTCCCACGTCAGGAGCTACTCACACGACTACATGTTCCTGTTTGAGCTGCTGAGCCTGAGTTGCCCTCTGCTCTGCATGATGCATGAGGTGTTGGGGCAGATGTTCCAGGAGCCTCATCTGGCCCAGCAGGAGCTGTTCGACCACCAGCTCACATAGGAGGGGGACCAACATGGCGCCGCCTGAGCCAAGTTTCCTTTAGATGGATTTAGCCTTCTGATTATTGATAAGTTATGAGCTATGTCTACATTTAACACCAAATATTCACGTCTTACATTTAAAGAGTCCACAGTCATTTTTTCATTTATTATTTTCTAATATTTATAAATCTTTATAAACTGTCAGTATCTTAAGTAGCTGCTTGTCTTTGCACAAAGTGCCTGATGGAGATTTTTACCTTTAGTTTTGACCTTTTTTTAAGATAAGGTGTAGTTTTATTTGAAACAGAATTGTGTGAAGTAAATATGAGTATGTTACCTGTAATAGACAACAACTATTTCAGTTTGGAGAATCAGTGAAAAAATCCTCGAGATGAGCTAACAGCTGCTCAGAGCTGGAGTTAATTTGAGTTGAGAGTTAATTTTTACAAATTAAAACATCTTGAACTTGAAAACGTTCCAAAAAGTTCAAACAAACGTCGTCTTCAATAGGTTTGCAGCATCATTTAAATGTCCATGCTATGATGCTAACGCTATGCACCGAGGATACCGAATTCTGACGCAAATTTGCCTAGACTCAAAGTTTTTCTCAGTTCAATCATACAACACACAAGTATGGACAGAAATGACTGTGATTACAAACATGAGGTCATCTCTGGAGTATAAATGAGGAAAATAGAGACAAAACACCTGAAAGACTCAGCTGATCAGTGTTAGGAAACGTTTACCAGCCTCAGTGTATGCAGCCGATGTATCAGCACAGGTGCTGTTTTGTTGAGAAAGCAGTAGCAACATAAGCAACTGCCATGTGCAAAAGTGATAAATGGGGGAAAAAATTCTCAAACTACTAGAATTTTTTTAATTTAAGTTGTTTCAGGTGACAGAAAATTGTTCTTGCATGCACCGTGGTCTGAGTAGCTTTCAGCTAACAGTCTTAAAGACGTTCCGCCTGGTTCTTCAAACTGAGAAAGGCCGCCATCTACTGCAGGTAAGATGCTGGCTACTCAAAGGCAAAGACTTCAATTTTGTTTTTAGCATATCATCACAAAGAGGCTTTAACATAGTTTTAGCCTTTTGGGACTTTGTTGGCAGTGAGTTCAGCTCCATTTGTGCAGCATTTTTCTGCTGAGTTCATTTCTGACTCATGGGCTCGTTCCAGGCCGCTGTGTTAGAACTTGTTGGTCCAGTGTTGAGGTCCTGGTTGTCCACTTATACAGTTCACGTTGCGCTGGACCCAAGATGGATTATTAGAGATATTGCCACCCACTTAATTTTAATCCTCAGACAGGGATTAAAATGTATGAAACGTTGGGTTTAGTTACATTAAATCTACCTGGAACGAGCCCTGGCTTTGACGATGATGCCATCTGAACTGTGTGGTTTCTAAACGTATGAGATATTATAAATTCATTGCTGCCTTCTGCTTTTTAACTCTGCACAACAGAGATGTGCACTGGAAATGCCAAAAAAGTATTTTAGAATTTTTTTATTTCAGTTTTTTCATTATGTATTTTGTGATCTTTTTTTTAACTATCACTGTTTTTCTCAAAAGAAAAAAAAATGTTTGAATTTGAACTTTTAGTATGACAATTGTCTATTTTTAACAAAAATTTTAGGAAAATGTATTTAGAGAAATTTGATAAATTATAAAAATGAGCCTCGACTGAAGAATATGTGGACTTATTTGATCATTTGAGCAAATTCCTTAATGAGTTTTTTTTTTTTTTTTTTGGTGCTTTGATTTTGTAAAGTGAACATTTATTTAATGATAAAAAAAGTTTGGTTCAATGTCTAAATAATGTCTTGTAATCCTATTATGGATACTTATGGGACTGTATTATTTTTGTACATTTTTGGTTTCTTTTTTTCTCCACATTCTTTTTCTTTTCTCCTCCAAATTAATTTTTCGCTGTCTTGTTTGGTCTGTTTCGAGTTTCCACTGCTGCACGCTCTGATTGGCTGATTCCTGCCATTCCATTGACGGTTGGCCCATTCTGGTCATAAGATCTTGCTGTGTTGCTTTTGCATTTTCTGTTTTTGTAGCTCCGCCCCCTTTCTACCTAACCCACATTGACCAGTCACAAACCAGCACAAAACCAGCTTGATGTATGCAGGTTATGAATGTCGTTGCCACACACAGATTCTGAAAGGTTCCAAAATGTAGCTGGCCCTGTTTTTTGTTTGTTTACATTTACAGTGATCAAATTTCAAGAATAAACCAAAACTCAGTAAACCCAGTTAATGTTAGTGGTGGGAATGTTAGTCAAACGGTCTCAATTTGGGTAAATCACCACTTATTTCTTGTGGTTTTTATAAGGCTAAATATCTTTGTTTATAACTCGCCGCTGAAGGCAAGAGGCGATAATTATTTGTCTCGTCAACAAGAGATTAACTTTAGGCATCAACCACATAACACAAAGATGGCTTTAAGTCTGTTTTGTAGAATTTAGGGTAAAATCCGGTGCGGTAGTAGCTGAGAATAATCCACAACACGTACTCTAAGCGCTAAATGATCACACGAGATCTGTTTTTAAACATTTTCCATTAGCCTTTGCAGTTATTTCTATCTGTTAGCAAAATATCTTATGGACCACTGGACTGATTATAATAAAACTTAGCTTGTCCACAACTGATTAACTTTTTGAGTCGCCTTAATTCAAGATGGCTGCCACAGCTAACTGACCGTAGCAACTCAAAGATGGCTGTAACTCAGTCCAACTTGGATATCTGGAGCTAAAGTTTGGTGTGGCAGATAGTCTTCCTACTCTGAGGTTGTAGACAACCTAATTTGCTAAAGTTTGTCTAAAACAGCTCAACGTTCATCCCTTCTCAGCGTAGGATGGTTTGAGTTTTAATCTCTGGCGTTAAAGATCTGCAGCTATATGGATTCTTGCTAAGTATTTATTTGAATAACTTTTCCCACTGAGCCAGCATTTGATTAGAGCCTGCTGGGCCTTTTATTTTATATCTATAACAGATGAACGGAAAATAATCCAATTCTTCTTTTCCTTTAGTTTTGGTTTTATCATGTTATTTAACTCTTTTTATAAGAAAAGTCTTATAAAATGAAGTTACAAAGCTGCATGTCACAGTGTGTGTTTTTAAGCTTGTGTTGATTAAAGCACGCCGAGCACCTTTTGGCTGCTGCTTCGTTTTGTTATTGCACTGAGCAGCATGACCTTTAACCCTCACGTAGTGCCGTGCCTGCTCCCATCTGACTTTACTGTTTGTCAGCAGCAGCGTTCCTTCTTTGAGCCCCGTTTGACAGCAGCGCGTGTCCACGTGTCTGTGTTCTATCTGTGGTTCCCTCTGTTCCAGGAGGAGGCCTCCCCACCTCTCCGCCCTTCTCCAGATCTCTCTCGTGCACCTCGTAGTCTTTGCTCAGGAGGTAGCGGCCTCTTTATGTTTTTGCACACTGCCATTGACAACCTTTGTCGGCTGTACTGTTAAGTTGTGTTTTTATCAAGGGTCAATGCAGCCTGATTTGTTTCCTTGTGAAATTTGCTTAATTTATGATCTTTAGAAGCTGTAAATACAATCACAAATAAATCTTATTTGATTATACAATTTATTTGCGTTGTCTTTTTGTTGCCAAACATTTAAGTTACTTTTTTTTTCTATGATAAAACACTTGGCATGCAGTTTATTTCTTACAACTTAGTGATTAAATACCAAATTAACATGTAAAATCCTTTTCTCAGCTGTGTGCTTAATCGATCCTAACATCACCCACACAAATCACGCTCACACCCTTCGGTGATAATTAACACGTGCAACAAGATAAATGTTTGAAGCAGCTTCTAAATTGTTACACAACGTGCCTCGAATAGCTGCAAAATAATTTTAAAAATGCAGTGGCAGGAAAAAAAACTAAACAAAAACAAGTCCCGCTTAATGAATTCATTAATCTAAAGAGTTTCTGACAACCTGAACAGAATGGGAGTGGATCCCATCTCCGTTCCTCCTCCCAGCTTCTTCATGGGCTCTGACTGGGTCTTTTCTGTCCTTTTCCTCTCAGGTCCTTTTTTATGTGGAAAACTCCCATTTAAACCAACATTTAGCAAAAGTCACATTAGTAGAAAGATGCCCCAAAGGTCATCTCAACTTGTTCTTATTTCTTTGCTGTGACCAAGTGGAATAACATCTGTACATTTTTTGACTTCGCTACTTTGTGAGTACGCATGAATATGTAACTTGTTGCTTTTTGTACATACATTAATATCTGTATTACTCTGTAAAGTTATATGCAGTGACTTGTGAAGAACGTTTAGTGTACGTACAGTAATTTAATCAACTACAGACTTGGTTCCTTTTTTTTTGTTGTTGCACAGATTATTTGTGCTGCATTACTTTAAAGTACTTGAAATCTGCATACATTTTGACACTAGTTTTATTAGAGCAAGTTAAGCTAGAGTGCATGAAACAGAAACCCAATTCTGAAAAACTTGTATAAAATGTAAATAATACTGAATGATTTGAAAATCTCATAAAGCTATATTTTTATCTCAGTGGAACATAGTTTTATCATCTGATATGTTTATTAAGTTCCACAGTCATGGGTCATTTTTGCTGATGAGAGCAGTTGTTGTTTCAAAACTTGTATATACAATTACCATGCCAGAGACACTAATGCACCCCCATACCATCAGAGAGGTAGGTTTTTGAACTGTGTGCTGGCGACATGGCCCCTCTTGTTACAACGGGAGCTGGATGTGGGTCACTGCAGCTAGCTGTTGCTAGCCGTGGGCCTCAGGCCTCCTCTTGGACCCAGGTCCACACCCAGCTCACGTTCCCCCCGGCTCGGACCTCCCTCAGAAGTGGCAACTCACACTATTAATAAATCAAGGAAACATGAATTCACGTTTTACCAATTGTATTAAAATCAAGGCAGGAAAAGGTTACGGTTTACAGAGCTGGCTGGTTCCGGTTCACGATGCGAGATCAGAAAACCGGAAGGGCCAGATGTCCCATCACATTACAGATTTATAGGACCTAGACTCCTCCTTTGCAGAAGGGGAGCACAACCTCACCGTGTACGAGAGGGAGTGACTAAGTGTGATCTCTATGGATCTTATGTGAGTTAACGTGAAAGGAAAAAATGAGACGGTGCTTCAGAAGCCTTTCTGCGTGCTGTAGCGAGCAAAATAAACTCTTTTCCTTGACGGATATTGAATCCCTGGGAGACTCTTTTTGGAGTTGCTGGCCTCGTTTAACCCAGTCAGAACCAAGTTATAATTTCATTATTATCCCGTCTCTGAGCAGATCAAAAACCATGGTCAGTCTAACAACAAAGTTCATGCTCATTAATCCAGGTATACAATCCAACATTTTTCAGTCAGGTCATCGGGACAGTTTCTTTTTTTTTGTGCTGAAACGTTTCGCTTTCGGTCCGGAAGGCTTCATCAGTCAAGGAAACACAAAACACTGTCCAAACTGTCCAGATGACCTGACTGAAAAATGTTGGATTGTATACCTGGATTATTGAGCATGGACTTTGTTGTTTTCAACCAGTTTGACAAGACTGTCAACAAGGAAGAGGGCTGGCAATGGAGGAGGGGGCGTACCAAAGAGACCATCTTATCACAAGCAAAACTGGTTTGTTCCACTTTGGAGTAAGCTGTTGGAGGAAGAATCACTTTTGTGTTGTGTATTTCCTTGACTGATGAAGCCTTCCGGATCGAAGGCGAAACGTTTCAGCACAAAAAAAAGAAACTGTCCAGATGACCTGACTGAAAAATGTTGCATGGTCAGTCTAGATAAATTACTAACACTCTCCTCTAATAGAAAGGACTGGCCATCAGTCGTTGCCAAAAACAATTCAATTTTGGATTAGTCTGACCCCCGAACAGCTCTTCAATCCATTTTAAATGAGCTTTGAAGAGATTGATGAATAGTGTTCAAATATGGCTTCTTTATTGCCTGTTGGAGATTTAAGCAGCGTTTGTGGACGTCACGGTGAATGTTGTTTGCGAACAATATGGTGTGGAAGTGTTCCTGATTTTGTGCAGTGATGTCCTGAACAGAACCAGACCTGTTTTAATAGGTCGTAAGATCAAGGGCAAACATTTAACTTTACTTGATTTTACTTATGAGCTGTAGATGATGGGATATCCAACGTCTTCCCAATTTTCTATTGACCATTATTCAGAAATTGTTCAGTTTCCCTCAGACTGGTGAACCTCTGCCCATCTTTACTTCTGAAAGAGTCAGCATCTCTAAAATACTCTTACTCAGTCGCAGAGCTTAATTTGTAAACCGTTCGATGCCTGAACACAAATAGTGAGCAGTCCGTTGGGGAGGGGATATCTGGGGGTCCTACCCCAGAAAATTTTGAATAAGGTGGATGTGATTTCCTGCATTTTGGTGGGTTTTTTTAACAGGTTATTAAACATCTATGTTTACCTACATTTGTAAACACTCCACTTCTGTTAAGCATCCTACCCCCCCCCCCCCTTACTTGACGATTCCAAGCCCGACTCTTCTCCGCTGAATTCACTGTCCTGCTCGTTGTTGTCCCACTCCATCCACATGTGGAACCTCCAGGCGCCTCCTCCGGCTGTTCATGGCGGCTGCCTGTGGGCTCCTGCCTGGTTAGCTTAGCACTCACCCGCACTGCTCGCTCGCTCCTCCTCCAATCTCCATTGCCGCTGCCTTCAGGTGCTTCAATTCTCGGCTGTCCAACTAAAGACAATGAGAAACCGTTTTTTAATGAAAGTAAATTGGACTGTCTTTTCTACATTTTGATTGCTCTTATTTTGACAAATTAGTGCTGTTGTTTTGATACGTGATGTGAATAATACACATCAAACATTTCTCTCGTTGCATTTTTAATAAATAATAAAAAAATTGATTAACTGTCAAACTGATTTGCAATTTGGTTGTGCTGTTTAATTATACTTTTGAGTTTTTTTAATAAACTTGCGCAAAATGCTTACTTGAAAAGGCTCGTATGTGATATTAAGTTGTCGTAAGTGGCTGTTGTGTTTAAAATTTGTGTTTTTATAATTACTTTCAGTTTACATATCCAATATAGGTTTTATTCATTCAAGGCAGTCTTATTTGTTCATAACTGCATTATTAGTAAGCCTGAGAGTTACCGGATCCAAGCAAACAGTTACTGGAACGCACCCTGTCAAAATAAAAGAGATCCCGGATCCTGTTCCGACAGGACCTGGATCAAATTAAGCCCTGCCCAGTCCTCATACTGAACTGTTGCACAAGGCTCCACCAGCTGTTTTTTAAATTTATATTACTTATTTTACAACCTTTTATTTGTCTCCATCAGTACGTCTATACACGTTCTCTTGTCTGGGTCAAGACTTCTGATCCACTCAAGATAATTTATTGAAACTTCATACACATATGCATCATCACTGGACAGTGCATAATCTTTTCATCACTGCAGTTCTAAGGTCAAGGTCACAAATCAAGGTCAAAATTCGTACAAGGTTCTTGCCATCACTATTTATTGGTGTATAATAGATTTTCTACAGGTGTATATTACATATGCAGTACTCAATTTAAAATGTGTTTTAAAATAGAAATTACCTTTTTTTAACCCCAGAATTATAGTTTTCATTTTAACATTTGGTGTTTACTATGTTCCACTGTGAATAAAATATGGATTCTTGAGATTTGCAGAAAATCATTGCATCCGGTTTTTCTTTACATTTTTACACAATGCCTTTTCTGAATTTGGCTTATATGTCGCGTCAGCTTCACTTATACAAATGCCGTATTTTTAGGACTATAAGGCGCATTTAAAATCTTTTCATTTTCTAAAAAATCAGAAGTGAACCTTATAATCTGGTGCGCCTTATGTATCGATTCTGGTTGTGATTACTGATCTCGAACCGACTTTATGTGGTAAAAAATCTGTCAAAATGTTTTCGTTTCACTTAATGCACCTTATAATCTGAACAATACGGTATTAATATTCATTTGAGATCAGCTAAAATTTGATCCCGGCACACTGTTTTGATGTTGCAGGTGAGACATCCAGCCTGCAGTCTGAGCAGCTTGTTAAAGGTCAAAGGTTATTTCCGGAGGATACGGAGCTGGCTGTCGACGCTCTGGAAGCTTCCTGCATAACTGGACCTATAAAGGAAGAAGGCGCAGCGACCAATGGTCAAATCCAGGACAGCACCAAAGGTCGGCACAGCTTATCCACCGCAGTGTGTGCTAACTTTAAACTAAAAAAGATGGTTTCTTTCAGGTATAATCAATTTAATGTCACTCAAATTAGTTTTTAACCCCTTTCATTACTTAAAAACATGATGTTCCCTGAGGGAGAATCATAAAATGGCTAAATTTCCTCTGTTGTCACTGTTTATGTTTGAGTCCAGTTTATGCGGGAAATGAGGGGAGAGGCTTTTCCCCACACCGAGACCAATATTTAGTTTTCCCTCTGCAGATGTAATGAACTGATGCAGGAAAAACAAACTAAAAGTTAACTTTGATAGGTTTTGCATTAATGCAGACATTTGTTTCTAACAAAACAGACATTTCAAAACACAAATTGTATTTATTTGATCATATTTAAGTTTTCTGCTTATGTTTTTTTTTAAAATTCTACTCATAAGGGAGGCCAACATACTGTATAGTGTCTTTTATTTTAAAATTGAATTAAAAATTATAAATCTTTTTCTAGGTCTTTTCCTTCTTCTAAGGATTTTTGAGTCCAAATAAAACGGATGTGTTGCCTAACTCAGATTTATTAATCCATTGTAATAAACTACAGTCAGTTGTTGCTGAGGTTGTGCTTGTTTCAACAAGAGACTGATGTTTGGTTCAAAGCTGCCTGAAAATCACCAACATTTATGTTTTTGATTTTTATTGTGTGAACTGCACATGATGAAATCTTTAGATGCGTTAGAATTTGCGCCACACAGCCTTCCAGGGTGATGACTTTGGTCCATCTTTATTTATTATACTGTAAAGTATTCGCACAGATGGTCTTTTGATGCATTTGTCCTGCATCATTCAATTAGCTTCACTTTTAAAATAAATAAAAATATCTCAGGATTTCTATCAAAATATTCTCCATTTCTTTTTGAAAATTGGGTTAAAGCAAACTAAATGATTACGTTCTGCTTTTATACTGTTTCTGCTCTGGTAAAAAAAAAAAGTGCTTCTCTGCAGAAATCATGTTTTATGATTAACTAAGAACTGACTGCTCAAGTTCTAAAGTTTGTTTAAACTTTACATTTTGAAATAATTTATTGTGATTACAAATGTCTACTAATCATTTACTTCAGCTTTGGTTTCACTCATATTTACTGCTAACTGTTAGATAATTAATATAATTTAAAGTGAATCCTACAGAATCACTCACACCAATATTGCTTTTCTATGATTGTTTTAAAATTTTTTCCAAAGCATATAAAGCAATAGGTCTTTATTGGGATTTTCAAATGTTTTAAAGCCCTAAAAAACATTAGTAAAACGTCTTCTTGTAGCATTTTATTTATTTATGTGTTCTCTGCAGGTCACTTTAACACCAAACCGAATAATCGATGGAAAAGAAAGATCCGCACAGGTGAGCCCCTCCAAGTTTAAATCCCTCTGCGCCGTTTGGGTACTCCTCCTCCTGCAGAGCCTGACAGCTAAAGACCTGCTCCTGCTCAGGTTCTTTACTGGAAGTATCAGATCCTCCACCATATTTCACAATCTTAGTGAATACTTCTGCACACAAGTCGGTCTAAGAGATTTATTTGATCTGTTTGATGCTTCATTTGAAACTCCTGCAGTGTGTTTGACTTTAAACTGCAGAGGGAGATTGGTGCTCATCAGATTATATTCTGATGATCTGTTAGGAGTCCGCTCTTTTCATATCAGTAATTTTCCAAGGAAAGGATGTTATTCTCCAGGTGTTAGTGAGTATACAAGCTGTTGTGCTACATATTGACCAGTAGAGGTCAGTGTAGCTCGGCCTTCAAGATCCCACAACTTTTATTGTGTGAATGTTTATGAAGCATTCACACTATTGTGATCCAGTTTTGTTACGTACGTTTTTTGGCACAATTTTCTTCCTGCAATTTTTAAGCTAGTTCAACAAATCATAAATCGAAATGTTCAGCTTTTTCTGGACAATCCTGCTATGACTTTTAGTATTTGTGCAACTTTAGCTTTTTTAAATATTTAGCCTTTTCTGCCACTTTTTTTCACATAGAAAATGAGTTGAGCTCATTTTACATCCTTCAGATCTTTAGATCTGTTTACATCATTTTACTGCTCCTTTCACATTTTGTTCTGCTTCAGCTTCTTTCAGCTTCCTTCTGCAAATTTAAACTTTTGTCAGCTACTTTCAGCTACTTTTTTTTTTTTGGGGGGGGCAGCTGTTTTGTGCTTCTTTCTGATTTTTTCTGCTAACTACAACATTTTTGTACTTCTAACTTCTTTCTGCTAATTTCAGCTTGTTATGCTTCTTTCAGCTAATTTTTTTCAAGTTTTAGCTTTTTCTGCTATTTATGCTACTATTTAGCTGTTTTATACTAATTTTAGCCTTTTCAGCTAATTCTACATTTTTGCATTCATTTCAGCATTTTTTCAACGTAATTAAGTAAAATTGTGCTCTTTCCACTTCCTTCTGATTATTTAAGCTTCTTTCTGCCTTTTTAGCTACTTTTCAGTTGTTTTTTGCTACTTTCAGCTTTTTTTCTTCTTCAAATAATTACCACTTGTGCTGAATTCTTCTTCTTTCAGCCTAATTGGACAAACGTGTTTGTTCTGCTTTCTTCTGCTAATTTAAGCCTGTTCTACCTTTTCAGCTACTTTTTAGCATTTTTTAGCTGTTTTCAGATATTTTCAAGTTTTTCGTGGTAAATTTAGCTACTTTCAGCCTAATTAACTTATTTCTACTAATTTCAGCTTTTTCAGCTGTTTTGTGCTAAATGTAGCCTTTTTAGCTAATTCCACATTTTTAGCTCATTTCAGCTCATTCCACCTCCTTCTGGTAGTTTCAGCTTTTTTCTTCCTTTTCAGCTACTTTTCAGCTTTTTTTCCTTCTAATTTTAGCCTTGTAGCTAAATTCCTAGTTTTATTTTTTTGTTTTTTGCTAATTTGTGCATATTTAAACCAAATTTAGCAAACATGTGTTCTTTCTGCTTTCTTCTGCCAACTCTTCAGCTAATTTCAGCTGTTTTTCAGCAAATTCTTCAGCAATAAGGATTCACACTGCATTTTCACAGGAAATGCAATTTCTCTAGTTTAGTTTGTCTTTAATTACTTAGCTCCTGTCCCTGACCTTTCCTTTTGCTTTTGCCTCCTTAATTTAATTGTGGTTGTTTGTTTTGCCTCTCTGTCGTCATACGTGTTGTTTTACAACATATTATTTGTGTGAAGTGCACACTGGCCTTGCGTGCCGTACCTCAGGGATAAAAGGTTAATTATTTACAGAGGCTGGATCTTTGAGTTATTAACTCTTGCAGAATGAACAAAGAAGCATTTTACAGACGCCAAATGAAACTTTAAGCCTTTGACCTTTTTTTTCCAGCATGTCTGAAGGAATCTAGTGTTTCTTAACGTAAATCCACAACACCTTTCTTCCTGTTTGTGTCTTAAACATTTGAGTGCAACTACTTCAGGTTTGTTTTTAATAAAAGTTGCCAAATGTTCTTATTTGTATTGTACAGTATGTATGTCACAGTCAAAAAAAACATCATGAAGAGGAAAAAGCATAGAAGTCGCTTTGGCGTATAAGTTGCATTTATTATACATCACTGCTGACCTGTTGCGTTTATTATGCATTAATTTAATGGTCAAAACATCTGGGCGGTGCAGCACCATCCATCCATCATGACCAGAGCCGCTAGCTCTCTAGCATTCCTCCGCCTGCAAAAGCTGAGTGAAGCGAGCGAGCACGGGAGGACTCGCTGTTGCAGTTCTTAGAAATTTAAAGCATCAGTCAAAAATTATGTTATGAATATGAAAAAAATAGTATATGTCGCTTTGGCGTACAAGTCGCAGGACTGATGAATCTATGCAAAAAACTGTGACTTATACGCCGGAAAATACGTTATTTGTCTTGTTTTGGTTGTGTTTCATATTCAGCTTCTTTTTATGGTTTTCAGCGTTCCCGTTAATCTTAATCAAGCACTTTCACACGCCACTGGACAAACAGAGACCGGAGACTGTCCCCGAAGTCGACTGTGAAGAAACTGTTTCCGCAGGAAAACAAACTGTACGCCACATTTCATGGGTTTGTGTGTCAGCAGTGTCATTTAAATGGTTATCATAGTGAACCTATTGGCAGAAATTAGCCTTTCAGAGTGCTCTTATAACAAAAAAACGTGTCATTGTATTTTTGATCAATGTAAAAATAGGAGTTTGTTTGTTCAGAGTGCATTCTTGTTTTCTTAGGAGTCCAAATGTATTTCTAAAACATCACCAGACTCCAAGAATCCTTCGAAGCGGAGTGAGAAAAAAGCCGAGCCCTCTGCTGCAGTGAAGTCGGCCTCCAGCTCATCGTCTCCCAAGAAACGGTTACTATTGACCCAGTCAACAAAAGAGAAGCTTCTGAACTGGGACGAGGGGCTAAAACCAGAAGAATATCCCTCCAGCAGCACCGCCTCGAACGTGCAGCATCAGAAGCAGCAGGTGTGGCAGCGAAGTGGAGATTAAACGTGGATATCTTTGTTTTGCACAACACGTTTGTCCTGCTGCATCGGTCCAAACAGAGAGATCATCCGAGAGATAAATTCATTCCACGTTACGTTGAGCACATTTTTCTTTCTTCTCTGATGTTTTATCAGGTGCAAACAGAGGCAGATAAGCTCCAGACGCACTCCATCCAAAACCAAATGGCATCCCAGAGCCAAGCCTCTGCATCTTCGTCCTCTGCCTTCCAGGTTCTATCCAGCGCCTTCAGGAGAACGTTTACTGGGAGCACTAACTCCAGCAGCCCCAAGACTTCAGTCGTAATGTTTGTATTTAATGCTTCAAGTCTGGCACCACATTTCTTGGTAGAAAAAAATAATCGTCTTATCAGTCCTTGTTTTCCAGGAGACCCAAACGTGATGGCCCTCGCAAACAAAGGCCCGTGTCTGAAGGAGAGTTCTGCTCGACATTCAGCCACACTGCTCCAGAATCCTCCACAGAGGGGAGGAGGACCAGCATGCACGGCGTCCGCTGGGCGTCGGTCAGTTCAGACCCATGGGGGGCGGGGCAGGACCTACCTTCCTTACTGCAGCAGGTGTCTCTAAAGGGCCGGAGAGAATCCGAAGGGATGTTCTCGGACAACATCTGTTCCTCCAAAAGGCTCGACTTGTTTTCGTCTATTCGGATCAGGAAGAGGGAGGTGTCGCATGGCAACAGGAACGACCAGGAGGTTCAAAAAGAAATCAGGACGTTCCTCTCCAACCTGAGGAACAAAGGTGAGTGGGCTGACTCCGTTCTGCTGTAAAATGAACTTTCATTGTTCTGTCTCAGATCCAGCAACACTGGCCCCAACTATGATACTACCACCTCCATGTTTCACAGATGGAATGAGATTCTTTTGCTGGGATGCATTTTATTTCTACAAACACAAGAGTTTTCATATAAAGTAGTGAGTTCTGGTCCTGGTTCATCAGAACTGTTTGTAAGTTTTCCAGTTTGTTTTTAGTTTATTTGTTTTTTCAGACTGCAGAGGTTTTGACTTTACACTCCGACGCATCACTGTCGATTACTTATCCTGGGATGTTTGCTTTAACTCCAGACCTTACGTTGTTTTTTAGTTTAACTGTACTACTCAACTGTAGGTACTTAACCAGTAATTCATTGGTATGGAACAGGTACTTAAATGACCCTTAACAGTTACTTAACTGTCGCAAACCAGGTAGTTACCTGCTATGTATTTGATGAGTACTTGGTACTTAACTGGTATGTACTATGTAGTTAATCGCCATGTACCTGATGTGTACTGGGTACTTAACAGGCTTGAACTACCTGGGTTCTACCAGGTAAGTAACTGGCCCATACTAGGTACTTACCTGCTATGTAGTTACCTGAAATGTACTGGGTACTTAAGAAGTAAGTAACGGTACATACAAGGTACCTAAAACTGGCTCGTACCAGGAAGTGATCTGGCACGGGCTAGGAACATTCCTGGTATTACCAGGCTGTACTGTGTGTTACGTTTCTTCATTTCATTTAGAAAATTTAAAACCAACATTCTTTGAAATGCAAACTAATCTTCGCTTTACAAATTATACTTAAATATTAAAAATCTGTTCTTTTAATTTTCACATCTTCAGCCTCGAGTCAAGAGAATCTGGAGGAGCTGTCGTCGAGTGACGATGAAGATGAAAACCCGACGTCCAGTCCAAAGGTTTGTGCAGATGTTTGCACGCTGACAGACATAAGAGTCCCGTTTGCAGCATTTCACCATCTTGTTCCTCCTGTTTCAGCTTCGTTCAGAGAAACTGAAGGAAAAGATGGCGGCCCAGCAGGCAAAACAAGAACAACTGAAGAGGCTTCACAAAGCTCAGGTGCTGCTTTTTAATATACTGAATATTCATTTATTCATTCAACCTTTATATATACAGGTAAGTCTCAGTGAGCCTCGAGGACTCATTTACAAGAGAGACCAGTTAAAATGTTTTCTCATTTTAAAATATCTATTTTAACTCTGCAGTTTTTGTTAGCACTTATTGACTTAATACGTAAGAAATCTCAAACCCTGAATTCTTCTTCACCGTTTACCTAATTATAAGCATCCCATGATTCTTTTTATCATTGTGCAGGCAATCCAGAGACAATTGGAGGAAGTTGAGGAGAAACAGAGGGATCTAGAGGAGAGAGGAGTGACGATAGAAAAGATCATCAGAGGAGAAGGTACTCGACACTACATGAACAATTCCTAACCAAGGCCTTTTTAAAGTTCTCTGACAGCTGCTTTAAAGCGAGAAGTCTGAGCTAAAGCACCTTAACAGCTCAGAGGAATTCCTCTCCAAGCCTTGCTCGTCTTCCTCTCCTGCTTTTTAATTGCAGCGTCCTCCTCAATTTAGAGAAAAGCTTCGCTTCATAACGCCGCTCTGCTTAAAAGCCTCTGCTACAGTTAATGGCTGTACTTGCACCGAGACTTTATTGTGGCTCCATCTTTTCACAGAACAGCGCTTTGTTTCAGTGCCAGTGAATAGTCGTGCACTTAATGTGCCGTGCTTGTGCGGTCAAAATCGGATGCGCTTTATTTCTTGCTGTGGTTTCACGCGCTCATCTTAAATGCCTCAAACAAATTTCTTCTGTTTCTTTCTGCTTCCTCACTCGTCCTCACCCAGACCTGCCTGAGACAGAGGACCGCGATGAGGCTCTTCTCTATCAGGCCTGGTTTCAGCTTGTTCTGGAGAAAAACAGATTGGCCCGCTACGAGTCTGAACTCATGATCTTGTGAGTGACGACATCCAACACAGATTAAAGACGTACAACATGTTAATGCTTTTTAAAATGCACGTAGAGCTGATTTTTCTTGTATCTTAGTGCCGAAGAGCTCGCGTTAGAGGACACCCAGAGCCGGCTGCAGCAGGATCTAAGACGGCGAATGGCAGTTGAAGGTAAAGTTTTTATTTGATTATATTTGGACACAATGAGCATGCACTCATTTCTGTCCTGTGTCCACGTTTTTTTTTTGGGTTCAGATACAAAGAAGAGTGCCTCTGACCTGCAAAAGGAGGGGGAGATCCTGGCAGAGATGATGAGGACGGTGGAGAAGCGGGACATGCTGGTCTCCATCCTGGAGGAGCAGAGGCTGAAAGAGAAGGCTGAAGACAGAGACCTGGAAAGCCTGATCTTGTCCAAGGGCTACGAGTTTCACTGGGCTCACGAGGGCGACAACTGGGGGCCGGAGAAGCTGGAGTGAGGCTTGGATGTTTAGCGATTAAGCGGTGGAAATAACGAGGGAATCTAGGAATTTGCACCCGACTCATTTTCGGATTGTGACGCTGAAGAAAAAGTCTTGGAGCTGAAGCTTCATGTGGTTCTGCTGCTGGTCAGTTTGATGAAAACCAAAAGAGAAAAGAAACGGAGCCGACCTCATGACTTCTTCGTTCAGAGCCAAGAAGAACACCGCTGCAAATAAGGTTGTTTAACCTTCATGTCCTCACATGCACCCTTCTAAAAGTGTGGCTGTTTGATACATTTATGGTTGCCGGCCTTAAGATTGGACTCGTTATGACAATCAGTGTTTTTTATTTTTATTTTTACTTCACAGAACACTTAACATGGCTCAACACTTCAACTCGGGGTTTGAGTGTTTTGCACACTGTAAATAATTTCAAATCTTTGTAATAATGCTATAAAATATGTTGCATAATTCACTGTTTGTCACTCTGTGTGTCTGTGATGTTTCACTTTCTACTAGAACACTGGATAAATAAATAAAAACAATGAAAATGAGCATTTTCTGTGAAAATGCTGTTGCTTTATGACTGCTGAAATTTGTTGAAGAAGCTGAAACTGATTTGTCAAAGCTGAAAGCAGCTGAACAGAAGCTAAAATTAGCAAGAGTAGAATAAAATAAGTTACACCTAAGAAAACTAAAGTCATAACATTAGCTAAAAACAGTAGCTAAAGTCTAAAACTAGCAGAAGCACAGCTGAGGTAAATTTAGCCAAAGAGTAGCTTAAAACTTAAAAAAAGTACAATCGTACAGTTGTTTTAAAGGTAAGATTAGCTCAGTAGCAAAAAATAAAATCTACCAGTAACTTGTGAAAATAGCTACAAGCTAAAACTAGTAAAATCCTAGATAAAAACTACATCTAGCAATACAGTAGCTAAAACTTTAAATAAGCACAACAATATGGTAGCTTAAAGTTAAAACTGGCACAACAGTAGCAATTATCAAAAGTATCCAAAAGCTGAAATCCAAGATGGTCTAAGTGCAGGGCAGCCGACTCGGGACCCGAAGGTCCTGGGTTCATCCCCAGCTGCTCCCTGGGCACCTCCAAAGGTTGCCCATTGTTCCGCCTCATGGAGGATGGTTTAAATGCAGAAAGCCATTTTTGCCATTGTATGGGAACATACAATGATGACAATGCATACACATTATTATTATTAAATCAGAAAAAACATAACTAACATCTAAATCATCTAACATCTTAACGTCTGGGAAGCTCAGTCCTCACCTCCTTCTACAGGTGTGCGGTGAAGAGCGTCCTGCGCTCCAGCATCAGCGTGTGGCATGGAGGCTGCACAGCTGCAGAAAGAAAAGCTTTGCAGAGTGGTGAAGGCTGCACAGAAGTCTGTTGGAGTCAGCCTCCCCACCATCACAGACATCTACACCTCTAGATGCAGGAAGAGGGCCACCTGCATCATGAAGGACCTCACTAACCCAGCACACACACTTTTTGCCCCGCTCCCCTCGAGAAGGAGGTTGAGGAGCATTAAGTGTAGAAACACTAGACTGAGGAACAGCTTCTACCCTGAGGCTGTTTAGACTCATGAACCTCTAACCAGAATAATCACTGTGAAAAAAATGACATCAAGTTGCTGCTGATCTGTTTCATGTTGCTGCTGATCTGTTTCATGTTGCTGTGTTCATTCATACTCATCTGCTCACACAGACTCATGTTCGTGCTGCTGGGTGGCCTTTTGTTTTTATGCAATTAGTGCTTAGCGTATTTTTAGTTGATGTTTTTCTTAGTTCATGTCTTAGATCTTATTACTGTTTTTCTTTTGCATTTTATTGTTGGATGTAACTGGGACCCTGTGTGCACAATTTTGTTCCACCACACGTACCACATGTGGTGCAAATGACAATAAAGAAACTCTGACTAAATTTTGCAAAACCAAATTTACCAAAATGGTAGCTAAAACTTAAAATGAGCTAAACAGGCTTAAAAAATATATTTAATTTCACATACATTATAAAAGCCAATTACCTTAGTAGAGTAAAAGTTCTCTATCCAAGGAAGCCAGCAGATTGAATCTTCACTTCGTCAGTCTCCCATCCTGAGCAAGCACAAAGGCAACAGTAAAAAGGAAAAACCCCTTTTAACAGGAAGAAACCTCCAGCAGAACCAGGCTCAGGCCGAGCGGATGGATTTTAATTAAACTCAAAACAATCGTTGACTATACATCTGCAACAGAAGGCTGAAGAAGCTACAACTGCAACCTTTTGATGTCAGCTTGATTCGAGATGGCTGCCATAGGTAACAGACTTGATCAATCACTAGAATGGCCATAACTCAGCTGGTTTTACAGATACTGAACTACAGTTTGGTGTGGTAGTTGCGGAGATGCCTTGTTGCATGCTCCTCCAGACAGATAAATTAACAAGGTTGAGTCAGTTCCTCTGGACAGGTTCTTTTGTCCAGAGGAACTGACTTAGCGTTAGATTGTAGCTGATACTCTCAGCAACCTTCGCTGAGAGTAATCCTCAACCCTTAACAGTTTGAGATTTTAAGCATAATTTTGTCTATACAACCATCCTACTTAAAGTATACCTGTATGTACATGATTGTAGTGGGGTTAGAGGTCACTTTCTGTGAAAATGACATTGTCCTTAGTGTAAATTAACAAGCAGTTCAATTTAAGAGCATGCAAAATGGAAGTCCAGCTATCAATGAGAAGAACTTACGTGTTAATGACTACCAGCCTATAAACCAGGATCACACAAGGCTTATTTGGTGGATATGGAACCAATCGGATGACATTTTTAAATCCTAAGCATTTTCTGAAGTTATATCATGGACAGTAGTCTCTTATGGATGTACAGATAGATGCAATCTAGTGGATAAAGTGTTTTATTTTTGTGAGATGTCAAGCTGGAGCACAGACAAGGTTTTAACAATCACCTTGACACCATACTGAAATCAGTAATCTTTATTAAAACATGAGGTATCCTGCTGTAGCCTGATGCATGCTCAATAATCAAGGTAGAAAAATCTAAAAAGGTTAAGTCAGGTCCTCTGGGCGTTCAAAAAACAACAATAAAATAAAATAATACAATTAAAAAGTAATTATTTTTTGAACGTCCAGAAGACCTGACTTAACTTTTTTAGATATCCTGCGACATTTCTACGTTAAATACTTATAATTTTACACAAAAATATGTATAAACAGAGAGACGGATGGACAGACAGACACAGTCATACCATATTAAGTCCCGTTGTAGGACTGGTGTACAAAAAAAGGAGGTTCCCCAGAACAGAACCCTGTGGAACATGTTACTTAGGGTTCTATTCTCAGTATTTCAGTATCTCAGAACAGGATTTGGTTTGCAAGCTAGTATTATAGTTAGCCCCTTGCTATATTTAGTTCAATTCGGGTAAGAACTCCGTTTCAGCCTCTTCAACAAACACTTGCAGCCTTCAGAGGTTTCTCCTGTCCCGTGTGGAGACGAAGCCTCTCCTCCTCGCGCCTGCTCCCAGGGGGAGGGGCCTCATTGGCCAACTCGGGTGTAAATGTCTGGAATTCCGTTTCCGGTTTAGGGAGTGGACGGAGATTTTATTTCCCCCTGTCTCTTTTTAATCCTGACCAACTTTAATCTCCACGTTAGCTCGGGCAGATTTGTGTCCCGGCTCAACTCCTCGCCAGGACGATGGCTTCTTCGCCTCAGAAGTCTCCATCTTCCCCGAAGTCCCCGACTCCCAAATCCCCGTCTTCCAGAAAGAAAGATGACTCTTTTCTGGGAAAACTTGGCGGAACTTTGGCGAGAAGGAAAAAAGCTAAAGAAGGTAAAACAGCTGGCAAACATAAATAAACCAGAAGATATTCGGCTTGTTTTGCTGGCCGCTTTTTGAAAGCTAATCGCAACTTTCATACAAACTGTTTTTACGGTTTTTAAATGCGTCGCAAACTAAGCTAAACGTTTAGAGAGCTTCCGTAAACATTTAGCTCTTGTCAGTTCCGAGTTCAGCTGATAAGAAGCAGCTGAAAATGTAACTTGTTGTGAGTTTTTTAGTTTCTGCATCCATGTAAGGTCTTCAAGCCTCTTGTTGCTGTAAGAAGTGAGGAATGAGTAAACAGGCCTGAGACCAACACCCAGCTGAAATAAAGCTTGTTGCTGAAAACTGCTTCAAAACCTTAAAACTTACTTGAAACGCATCAATAGCTGAAAATGGAAAGCTGCAAGAAACACAAAAAGCTGAAAAATAACTAAAAAAAATGCAGAAAACGTTTAAATTTGCAACAAAAAAGGCTCAAATACACAGAAAAGCAGTAATTGGCAAAAACAAAGCTAAAAATGGGCTGAAATTAGCTGAAAGAGACTTAAAAAAGAAGCTTAAAATGTTGAAATAATTTGAAACGATCACAAAAGGTGTAAATTACCCACAAAATAAGACAGATAAACGGCTAAAATTATCAGAAATGTACAGATAGAGTGGCTGAAAAAACAGAAAGAAGTGGAAAGGAGTAGAAAAATAGCTGAACTTAGCAGAAAAAAGCTGAACTAGAACCAAAGCAGAGGGAGTGCTCTGAGTGGGAGTGGGGAGTGGTGGCGCAGAGGTTATGGGCCTGTGATCCAAAGATCGCCGGTTCACATCAAAATTGTGGGTGTGGGACCTGACTTACTTGCCCCCATCCTCATTCGCCCCACTCTAGGCCCATGAGCAAGGCCCTGAACCCCCACCATGTGCTCCCTAAACAGGTCTCTCTTGAAAATGAGTTCTCGTGGCTCAATGAGACTACCTGGATAAATAAAGGCTAAATGAAAAAAAAAAAAAAAGCAGTAAAAGGTTTTAAACTTCACAAAGGGTTTGAAGGACTTGGAAGAGAGCTCCATTAATTTTCTATGAGGAAAAACGTGGCCGAAATAGCTAAATATTTCAAAAAGTAGAAATTGCACAAATACAACTCATTGCAGGAATGTCCTGAATGAGTTGAAACTTTTGATATATGAATTATTGAAATAGCGCAAACATTTCTATACATTATTGCCATAATTGATATTTGCGTAAAAAATAATCCATAAAGACGCCACCTAGCAATTCTGGTAACTATAGGCTTAGCGTAGCATAAGACTTTCTAGGTTAATGTGCACATAGACAAAGTAATGAAAAATAATCTTATTTCCTAAAAGTTGACCCCAATGACAACATTATGCAGTACACAGACTGAAAAGCAGTGGACCCAAAATAGATCCTTGAGGTACCCCATATTCACTTCTCTCCCTGTTTGTGTCTCTTTGAGGGTCTACAGAAGATTGATTATCTATAAGCTGTCCTTTATTGTCATTTAGGCACATATCAGTGTATCTGAGCAAAAGTCAAGTCTTGCCTCATCATTTCAGCTAAAAATATTTTCCTCATGGGGTAAAATGTTTACTTTCCACAACATGACCTCATTATTCTACAACTCACTCCTGCATAGTTCAAGTCAAGGCACAATTTTTGTGCGTTTGTTTAAAAACAGGAACTGTGCATTTTAAATGAACAAACACGAACTTGAGTCTAGTGTAGACTAGAAATGGACAATATCTGCCAATATTTCCACGTTTAAAGTTTCAGAGTCTAATTTAAGCTAGAATCAGTGCAGCTGATGAAGAAAACGCTCAAAAGAGAAGCTGGTTTAAAAAAATAAATCCATAATCTGAATGGGTAAGTTAAGAATCGTATCGCATCATTAAAACATTCTGTAGGTTAAAATAAGTAATTTTTGACTTTTTAAAATAATTTTGTCACTAAATAATGATTAAAAACTAGAGCCCGACTTTGGGGGTGTGGCTATTTTTGAGCTTTGTCCACCCCCAAAAATCTAAACGGCTACTTTTTAAACCTGTTTTAACACTTGACGATCCTAACATGCCTTCACATTTTCTATTCTCCACTATTCGCCATAAAGTTACCAAGAGTGCTACAAAAATATAAATTAAACTAAGAGACACTCTTCCCTGCTCATTGTTTAAACAGTCAGTCGTGTATGAAGGCATATATATAATTACCACAATGTTAAATTTATTATTCTGGATAAAGTTTTAGAAGGCAGTAGCCTATGCTAGGTTATCTAAACATTAGCTTGCTAACTTGAGAGACGCGTAGCTAATGACAAGCGGGTTGGAGGATTGAAGATAGTGCACATAACAGTTATTATTGTTGATTTATTTTACAGATCATGTACAATAACCTCAAATGAACTCTGTTCAGCAAAATACGATACACAGACAGCTGCTTCGGCTGTGCTGTGAGTCACGTGGCATGGCCAAGACTTGAGAGTAGTCCACATGCGTCCTCTGCTGGATGCATTGTACAATTACGCCTTTTTCAAGTATTTCCTGAGTGAAAATTAGAAGTGTTTATATCAGCGCCTAATGGGACAATTATCACTGATACTGATATGTCCACAAATGCCTATATTGGTCTAAAATATCGGCCCTACTGGTATATCAGTCGGGGTCTAATAAAAAACATCAAAATGTTAAACCAGTAAGGAAGCTGTAATGCAGAACTTTGTTTTTGTTTTTAACTTGAATGTACATTTTTAGTGTTTGTGGAGTTGTGTCGGTAGGCAGGGTGCTCTGTTCTGTTGTTGTCAGGGCGCGGCACCCTCCTTGGATAATGGTAGAGGAAACACCGACTTGCTTGATTCCCAGCATCATCCCTGTTCAAGACGTGACTTTCTGAGATAAAATTGTTGCTCTGAAGTACTTTGTTGTTGTTCAAAACGATGATGTTTTTTGCTCGTGTCCGTAAAGCTGTTCGTCTATAGCGTTCGTGAAATATCTCTCAGGGGTGACTGATTTTAATCACTGATTGAACTAGTGGGTGCACCGATTGCAGTTTTCTGGCCGATCACCGATTTCTAAAAAGTCTGACCTGCCGATTACGATTTTGGCCGATATCGCTTTTGTTTTATAAGCGACACTGTCGGGTGTTATATATGTCACAATGCACCTTCAATTTTCCAATATTTTATTGAAAAACATACCATGATTGAACAATATCCTAGAAACAATACAAACTTGTTTTAACTGGCCATGAGGTAGTGCTCTGAAATATAAATGAAGTTTAGACAACTGTTAAAACGACACATCCGTTTCTCATAAGTATCGGCCGATGTCCGATTTCCCAAATTTAAGGAAATCGGTGCTGATAAATCAACCGTCCGATTTATCGGTGCACCCCTAGATTGATCAACTGATGATCTTTTCAAGTCAATGCAGTTTGAGGGTTTTAGTGGGCCGTCACTGCTAATCATCTGTAGCCATTAGCCAACACTAAACTGGCTTCACCTCAGTGAATTTGACAGATTTAGAGCTGAATTTGGGCGTGGTAGTAGCTGACACTTGTTCACAACTCATACTCTGAGCACTAACAGATCATGCAGGAGATTGAAAATAACATTATGCACAGAGTTTGACCAAAATGGCTATAACTCTGTTGTGGTTTAACTTAAGATGATTTTGCATGCTGGGTCTGTTGTGCTCACAGATAAACAAGTTTCACCTTTATTTGTAATAGTTCATAAACCGTGCTGTGGAGGACTTTAACTACTAGGGATGTTCTATACATAAGAATATATAAATAAAAGCCTTTTTAAATGTTCAGTCATTTCCACGCAGGCCTGCTTTGGCAACACAGCGGCTCTCGGATGACATTTACTGCTGAAGGCCAGGCTTTATCTTTGAATGAGAAAGGTCGCCTTCACTTGGATGATTACTTTGCGTCAGTCACGATACTGTTGCACAGCTGAGCCCCAAAATTTATGTCTCCTTCCTCCATCGGACGTTCGCGCAATCGCATCATATTCCAGCTGCAGGACGAGTGCAGAGTCCGGTGATTTGATGGAACACGGGGGCTGGTCGCTCTTGTGCTGATGATTGAATACATTTAAGTCTGTGTGACGTTTATGGCTGCGTGTGCCGAGGAGGAACTGGGGGGTTGGAAGTGCAGTAATGACCGGAAGAAAGGGGGAAAAAGGTAAAGGATGAGGGACGGGAGGGAAGCTATACGATGAGGAGGAGGTAAAAAAAAAAAAATAAGATGGTCAGGAAGCTTTTAGAGCATCTGTGTGCTCCCTGAACGTAAACAGATTATACATAATTTTATATCCTCTTTGAATAGCGAGCTAATCTAAGATGTTACATTAGGGTCGACGTGAGCGCTCAGCCTGCGGGTGATGAGCTGCTTCTGTTAGCCAGGAGAGGATGCTTCTACCGGGGGGGACGCACACACAGAGACATGGGCTGTGGAGCGCTCTGCCCTCCAGGTAGGACCAGATCCCTCAGCGTGTAATCTTTCCATCGGCGTTGTCGTTCACGTGGCTTTGCATTTTTCCTTTATTGCACCAAATGAATACATGTCATTTACTATTTAACTGAAGAGGGGAGGAGTGACGCAATGGGAGGATACTCGGGTTGCCTTTTATTCTTTTTCAGTCTGCTTCTGAATTAAAATCTGTGTTTAAAGATGAGAAATGTATTTTGCAGTTAAAAGATCCTCGTACCCAACAGCCGTATGTCAGCATGTGCTAACTGGTCTGGTGTATAGGTCAATCTTTACCCAGTTAAAGGATTTTTTTTTTTTAATGACCAGCTTCTCGCACTGTTTTTAATTACCCAGAATATATAACATAAATGAGAAGATTGATAGAGGATCACATTTATGATTATTATTCATTTTCTGTCATTTTTACAGAAAGTATTTTTTGTCAAAGTGAGATGCCCTTAAGCTGTCAGGCCCTTAGAAACCCACTCCTTCTGAGATATTTTTATTTTTGTAAAATGAATTCAACAAATTTTAGAACCCTGAGTTGAAATCTATTTATATCTACTGGTCTAAACCTCTTAATCAAACTTATCTCCTTTTAAATACCTGAAAATAAAGTTTTTCAGCTTTTTCGTCTATAATGTATCTGTTTAAAAATAAATATTAATTTTAAAGACCACTCGATAATCTTATTGAAGAGGTCATCGTTTTAGTTGAGGTTTTGGGGTTTGGTGTGTTCACGTTTTAAACGTTTCAAGATGGAGAGAGTAAAATATTCTTTTGTTTGTTTGTTTTGTTATACACTATTTATTTTCTTACAGGGTTTGTTGGTTCTTTTATGGGTCATTTTTCAAGTGTTTTTATTTTTTTTTTTTAATGTATTGTGTTTGTATTGTAATAAAAATTTAAACAGGCCATTTTTTTTTTGTAGGTTATACTTCACTTTTTAGTCTTTTTATTATAGATGCTCGATATTGGATATTCGGCCGATATCTGATATGTTAAAACTTATTTGGCCGATAACCGATACCAATACAGATATTTTTTCCGTAGACCTACTTACAGACAGCGGCTACGTATTTTTTTCTGCTGTGGAATTAAAATACATTATTCTGCATGGTCTTTGTCAGTTTGACCTGCTACCAAATGCAGATGCCAAAAAGGGGACTGAAAATGATGCAACACTTCAAATTGGATTATAGGGGTGCACCGATTGCAGTTTTCTGGCCGATCACCGATTTCTACAAAAATGTGACCTGGCGATTCTGATTTTGTTTTTTATTAGCGACACTATCAGGTGTTATAAGTTCACAATGCATCTTTCATTTTCCAATATTATTTTATTGAAAAACATTCCCTTGAACAATATCCTAGAAACAATACAAACTTATTTTAACCGGCCATGAGGTAGTGCTCTGAAACGTAAAAGAAGGTCAGACAATTTTTGTTTAAACTAAAAAAATCTGTAAAATCAGTTTCTCATGTAAGTATCGGCCGATTTCCCAAAATTAAGGGAATAGGGGCCGACGTATATATAATTTATTTATATATAACGCCTTTTTATATCGTTGAGTTATTTTAATGAAATGTCCAATATTTCACTTTATCGCTAATATCACCCGATACCAATACCATACCGATAATATCGTGCATCCCTACTTTTTATACTATATTGTCTGTCAGAGGTATGTCCTGTCTCTCAGGTGTGTACCTAAATATTTTTCTTTGGTTTATGCCGTGCAAATAAAATAAACCTTTTGACTAGAACTAACGGGAGTGTTGTTGTATTACTGTAGCGAAGCTGGATGTTGTATCGGTTTGAGCAGCGTTGTGGCTGTTAATTGACTTTATGAATCAGGGGGGCATATATCACTCTGCAAGAATATTCTCACACACCTCTGTGACATGTGATTTGTGTGTGTGTGTGTGTGTGTGTGCACACGCATGCTCCTGCAGACATACTCTGCACATCCAACTATTTATGGATGGTGTTGATTAAGAGGATGTTCCAGTGAGGGCAGAGAAATGCTCAGGATGTTCACTTTATGCTCCAGCACACACACACACACACAGATCAGATCAGCTAATCTCCTCTGGTTTCTGACACTCTGAGGTTCAGACCACGCTGTGTTTCTGTGAAGCCTGCAGAGAAGCAGGAAGCAGCGCAGCTCCGTTGGCCTGACGTCACCGAGCTAACCTGCGGCTGTTTGGAGCATCAAGAGCTGAATGCTCTCTGAGTCTGGGGTCTGCAACCTTTACTGTCTAAAGAGACATTTTTGCACCTTTGTTCACTAAATTAAACGTGTGTGGGGCCGTAAAACCTGCTGCAACTGTGATTACCAACTGGTGGTCCATGGGCCACTTTAGGTTTGTTAGAGGGGGCTTTTCTGGCCAGTAGGGATAAGATTAAAAAACTAAAATATTTATTGATTTTTAACATTTATTTATTTATTTATTTACAATTTAAGATGAAAGAAAACACCAGATTATTGTAAAGAAAGGGGGGGAAAAAAAAATACATTTTTAATATATATATTTTTTTAAAGCATGAACTATGCAGACCTATGTTAATTTTTAATTGTGGAAAAAGTTAAGTATACTGCTTTGAAGAAATGAAGCATAAAGTTAAGAATGTTTTAATCCTTGTATTAGTTCTACTATTAAGATATTTGCAAAAATAAATGACAGTAAAACGGCTAAAACTAGCCACTATTTGTTGTCGGTAAAACAACCTATACAATTTAATTTTATTTGTTTTGGTCAAAGAATGAAAGAGTCCTTACAGAGGCACCAGAGAGCTGAATGTGGCTCCAGAGCCTCGTGTTGCAGACCCCTGCTCCAAGTGATAGTTTTTAATTTAGTACCAGTTGATCGTTCTTCAAGGTCACATGTGGGCACCTTTGCTTCGACGGGTCATTTGTAAAGAATAATGAACTTTCTGTGGCATTGCTTGTGGTTTTCTTCAGCTTCTGACAACTCCAGTCATAAATTCTTCCAGGCAAATGCTCCAAAATAAAATAAAGTTCAAATCTGTTGCTTTTATTTTTTGCCTTTGTAATATTTTAGGAGTTTATCAGAACACAAAAAAAAAAAAAAAAAAAGCATCTTAAATTGGCTCCGTCATGTCTTCAGGTGGTGTCTGCTCATATCGTCTCAAATAAAAAACTGAGGTCCAAGAGTCCGATGTTATGGGTTGAACGTGAAAATTAAAGTATTTCCAGAAAACATCTGTTTAAAATGAAATGAGTAAATACAATTGGTAGTTTTACGGTAAAGAAACAAAACGTTTGTCACATTTTACGTTTTATTTAGGTTCATGGGGTTTTCATACCTTTTTCGAAGGTTGAATTAAAGACAAATCCCTGGTTTCACATCCACAATTGGACCAATAGGAACAAATAATGAGTTCTTAATTGAATCTGTGACCCAACTTATCAAACTCCGCAGATGTTTTTATAACTTCTTGGGTGATTTTGATAACGGACACATCACCAGCCACAAACTGTAACAGAGAAATTACAAAAACTACAAGAAGTTTCCTATTTTACGTGGTATAATGATGTCAACACAGTGTTTATTATTAAAACTAAATCCATTTTAATGTGCTTTTGTAGTGTCTGAGCTTCAGGAGGAGGGGATCAACGCCATCAACCTTCCTCTCAGTCCTTCGCACTACGAGCTGGACCCTGAGGACACCATGCTCGGTAATTTCCTGTTCATACAAAACTGCAGTTTTAAGACCTGACGTCCAGAGGCTGGTAGTTTTACTGAGCACAGATCATGTTGAGACGATGTTTTAGTCATATTTTTCTGCCAGTTGCATACAAATTTATTATTTTTCTCCTTTTCTTCGTCCGTCAGAGGAGAATGAAGTGCGCACCATGGTGGATCCCAACTCCAAGAACGATCCCAAACTGCAGGAGCTCATGAAGGTCTGAAGGCTTTATTCTGTAACCCATTTCACAAATCATTTTAGCTTTATGTAAACCAATGCTTAAGAATTTGGATGAATGAACGTAATATTTCAACAGTCGAGGGAAAGTTTGTCTCAACTTTTTGACTCCTTTGTGATGAAGGTTCTGATCGACTGGATAAACGACGTCCTGGTGGGGGAGAGGATCATTGTGAAGGATCTGGCTGAAGATCTGTACGATGGGCAAGTTCTGCAGAAGCTGTTTGGTGAGAAGTTGAACTCTTAAGATGTTTAGCTGAGCTTTGCTTTAGGTGAACGAAAATATCCCTCATTCACATTTTTTTAATTTGATTTCATTCATCCAGTTTGTTTTTCCGTTCTTACAGTGAATGACTCGTCGCACTCTTTTAAACTCTGCTGTGTGTGTGTTTTTTGTGTGTGTGTCGATGTTCTACAGAAAAGCTGGAGGGGGAGAAACTGAACGTGGCAGAGGTGACCCAGTCGGAGATCGCTCAGAAGCAGAAGCTGCAGACGGTTTTGGAGCGCATCAACGACTCGCTCAAACTCTCCACCAGGAACATCCGCTGGAACGTCGACTGTAAGGAACAGAGCTCATTAAATCAATGACAACTTCACTTTTCATGAATTCTCACAGAAGCTGGAGTGCAGGAACATTTTAAGAGTTTGACCTGCTAAGAACAAGACAGACGTCTGTCACCTCAGATATTAATAATAATAGTGCGGAGATTGCCTGAAATATACCGAATTAACATTTTTGCTTTTCTTAAACCCTTTAAATACACTTAAAGTTTAGCAGTCCTTGAAGGATTGCCTATCACCCGCCGTCTTTCCTGCCAGAGTTTTAAACCAAGGTCATTTTATGTTGTGGAAAGACGGTGTTATGGCTGTTTTGGTCAAACTTTGAGAACATCTGCAATCTCATGCAGCATTGCCACATCTTGCACGATCTGTTAGCAGATGGGGTATATTTTGTGAATGACTCTCAGCTACTATCACACCAAATTTTAGCCCAATATTTGTCAAATTGGCTGAGTTATGGCCATTTTTGTGCATTTTTTTAGATCTGGCATTGCCATCTTGAATCATGTTGATTCCAACAGTAAATCAGTTGTAGAAGTACATCTAATGATTACACTCTGAGAGTTTCATTGTATTCCATCCAGCGGTTCATGAGATATTTTACTAACAGACAGAGTTGATCCTATTAGTTAAAGGCAGAGTTTTAAAAACAGATCTTGTGTAATTGGACAGCCCTTGGGGTATATCTTGGGGATGACTCCTAACTACCAGCACACCAAATTTTAGCTCATTATCTAAAAAAACAAAAATAGAAAACTGATTTAAGTCGTGGCCATTTTTGTTTGACTAAGTTTACTTGGCTGGGCTGGCTCCAAAAGGTTGTAGGTTGTGTATATGAAGATAAATTGGTCTCGGAAGTAGTCACACAAGCGTACAACAAGTTTTTTTATGTGTGTTCAAAACAGATCCACGCAGTACTACAAGTTTTACAAATTCATACAGCGAGTCACAAATGCATAAGCCGTTTTTTCAAATGTACACAATTCACATTACACGAGTAGAAATATTCCGCACAAATAGTCAAATACATTTTGCACAAATCGCCTGATGCGCACGGATCAGCACCGTGAATGTGACTTTTTTTTTTACCTCTCCAGATTCACAAAGGTAGTAGTGCTGCATTCAAGGCTGGTGAGAAGATGGGACATCTAAGCTCTACCAGATTTACTGAGTTACTGTGAAAACACACATTTCTAACTCGGCACAGTGGCTCATAACCCCTTGATTAAAACACATACGCTTACATTGAAGTTCCTGGATTACAAAACATTTACTTTTGTGAACCGTACGGTTAAAACAAAACAGCCTAAAATGAGCACTGTAGGTTATTTTTTTGTGTAGAAAATGTAGCAGGAAAAATACCTGAGAATATATTTTCTGCTATATTTTGCTGAGGAAGAAAATACTGGAAGTTTTAGAGGTAGAATAACCGAACCATTTTGAGTAGTTCATTTCAAATGTACAGTTCACGCAAAAAAATACAGGAAATATATTTTTACGGTAGTTTTTCCACAAGAAGAAAATGTTAATTTTGTTTACCGTACGGCTTAAATAAACATCAAAAATGAGTAAGTTATTCTTGTGGAAAAACTACCAGGAAAATATATTTCCAGTAATATACATTTTCCACTTGAAGAATAACTTATGGTACTCATTTTAGGTCGTTTATGCGTTTGTAAAACTTGCAGTACGCTTGCGGATCTTGGCGTGCGCATCCGAATCATGTACGCTTGTGTGACTACTTTGGAGACTAATTTATCTTCATATACAGATGTGCAGCCAGAGTGTTTTAATACAATACAACATAATTTATAAAGCACTGTAAAACAACACCATTGGCCAAAGTGATGTACACTAACATACAAGCATAAAAAACTATAAAATCAACAGATACCAGAAAAGTAATGAACTACCAAATCATAAACGGCAAAGAGTCAAAACAATACAACAAATAACTTAAAAACAGTAAAACCAACATTTCAAGCAGAGTTAAAAACCAAAGAGAAAAAAAAGTGTATTTTAATAAAATCCATCCTGTGGTCGTGCGATCATCAGTAGTACATGTACCAGGATTTGATAACCATAAATGTTTGGGATCGTTGTATATTTAATGTGCCTTTTCGTTCTGATGTTTTTCTTCTCATCAGCGGTCCATGCTAAGAGTATAGTTGCAATCCTTCACCTGCTGGTGGCGCTGTCGCAGCACTTCAGAGCACCAATCAGATTGCCGGACCACGTTTCTATTCAGGTGGTGGTGGTCCAGGTGGGTGTAACGGTTGTTTACTCCAAATTTAACTCGGATCACGTCTTTACTAAGACTGCTGTTTTGTTTTTTTAATCTTTATTTGTCGTCGTCTTGTTTGCGTTGGTTATTCTTTGCCCTCTCTTTATGTCTTTCAGAAAAGAGAGGGCATTCTTCAGTCCAGGCAGATTCAAGAAGAAATCACCGGCAACACAGAGTGAGTTGGCTTCAGCGTGGCTCAATTTTAAAGCAGCACGTTGGAAACACGGCCAACAGATTTCAGTGCTGCTGATACAAACAAGCCTCCTGGTGATAACAACACGCTGCATCAGGCTAAAGCACCGAGCTGCTCTCTGTTCAAAGGACCAGACTTTTTTGTCGTTTTAGTCATTTTTTAATTCAGATATCGTCTCCGTTTTTATGCCTTTTTCTTTCATTGCTTGTATTTGCTTTGATGTTTTGCTCTTTGGCAGTTTCCAATAGGCATCTTTAACTTCAAGGGTGTTGAAAAACAAATTTTTTTTTTTTTTACTAACTTAACAGTCAAACTGTCTTATGGTCTTACTAAGACATTCAATAACCACAGGATTCAAGATGGCCGCCACAGCTAAGCAATCTTAAATACAAAAGCTGATTTAACTCTGTCAGATTTACAGAGTTCACATTTGGTGTGGTAGTAGATGGGACTGATGGGGGAGTGGTGGCGCAGAGGTTCGAGAAGGTGGGCCTGTGATCAGAAGATCATCGGTTCAACTCCTCATACCGACACCATCAAAATGTGGGTGGGAAAGATGAAACACCCACACCTGCCTCCACCCTCTTTTGCCCCACTCTGGGCCCTTGAGCAACCCCCACCATCTGCTCCCCCAGATGTCAGCTCTCTGCTCCACACAGAGGGCTGTGGCAGCTCAGTGGTCTGTGGTTGCGTCAGGAAGAACATCTGGCGTAAAAACAATTGCCAAGTCTTCGTGCGACTTAGTTCGCTGTGGTGACCCCTAACCCCTGGTGAACACTAACTGATGGAGTGAAATCTGTGTTTAAAACTTTGGTCTGCCTGTTAGCAAAATACCTCATGAACCACTGGGTGGAGTTCAGTGAACCGTTTAGGAAATAATCATTGGATGTACATCTACACCTGATCAAGATGGCCGCCACAGCCTAATGAATTAAAGCAAAACCCAAAATGTTTATATTTCAGTCAGTTTTACAGATAATAAGCTAAAGTTCGGTGTGGTAGTAGCTGTAATTCACAACATTTACTCCTGAGCGTGACATTGAAGCTTAATGGTAGTTTGAAGGTTTGACCTAAACAACTTTCTCAAAATAAGATCTTATTCTAAAACTCTTGGCTACGAAGCGGCCCGGGGACGGGGACTGAAGAGCCGTGTGTGGCTCCGGAGCCGGGGCTTGCAGACCCCTGAGTTATAGTGGCACAAACATGGAGCGCAGGTGAAGAGGAACGCAGCAGTGGAATGGCTCCCTCAGCTGAAGAATTAGACAATTTAAATCAGTCTCTCACACACTTTTTGTTTCCCCCTGGGAGGCCGTCCTGCAGTCCGACAGCACCGACCGAGGAGATAACAGCGGGCCAACCCTCACACACACACATTTGGTCATGGTGGATGGATAGACTGCTAATAAAACACACACACACAGTGACAGTAGGGTTATTACCACACCAGCAGGACTGTTGCCCAGACCTGCCTGCGTTTGCCATCAGAGATTACACCATGAACACGTGTGATTAGTGCGTCTGTGTGTGTGTTTGTGCGCCTGCCATTTCTTGCTGGCCTGCCTGCTGCGATATCTCTTCCTCCGGGACACGTGCGCTGCAGCGATTCCTTCCCTCCAGAAGCACCTGACCCTTTCCAGCGAGAACAGCCTCCAAAGTGCGAGCGCTCTAACAGCAGACAAAAGGAGCTCCATTCCCATAGAAAACCTGCATGTTCTGCGCAGACGTGTCTTCATTTCTTGTTTCAAACCCTGCAGAATTGTTCAGGGATTTTTGCATTGTCCTGCAGCATGTGCTCATTATAACCTCCTGACTGATGATTCTCAGCAGAGGTGCACCTGTGTAAGGCTTAATCAAATTGTTTTACCCAGCTGCAATATTGTATTGTCATTTGTTTGACATAATCCCTTGGTTTTTCTACATTCCTCTGTGATTGAACAGTCTCTTTTCTCTCATCATGAACAATCGAGTGTGAAATTGTCAATAAGTAGAAACTGCCTTTTTGATTTTTGTATTTTGTGCTTTTTGTTCTATGTTTCAGAGCGTTTTCTGGCAGACATGGTATGTATTCATCAAGAACATGGGTTTTCAGTGCCTCCCAGGATGCCTTTATTTATTTTTGATATTTAATAATAATTAATTTTTGTCTTTATTCTCCACAGAGCGCGATGCTTTCGACACCCTGTTTGACCACGCTCCAGATAAGCTGAATGTTGTCAAAAAGGTAAAGAGGCTTTTGTCAGATTTTTATTTTATTTTATGGGGCATGTATGACATCTCCATCCAGCTATTTTATATAAAAATAAACCCTATTACCACTATTTATAATGTTAGCAAGGCTTCCAAGTGCAGAATATTTGATACTTTTATTTAGGTTCAGAGAAAATGGTTTTATTCCTTTACTGTCCATTTTGACTGGATTTGGAAAAGTTTGATGCCAGCAACTTGTTTGAAACAAAGTTAGTTTTAACTGTTTAAATCTTCATATTTCCTTTTTTTTTTTTTTTTTTTTGCTTTGAATCATTTTAAAAACTGAGGATTTTAATTTCTGTTTCACAAGAGGATTATAGCAACTTTCCATTTTGCTGTTTGTCTATTTTCCAATTTTTTTTATTTTATTTTATGAATCTTAGCTGAAATTTTTCTAAAATTCTGTACAATTTACAACAATATTATTTATTCTTAAATAAAGCTTATAATTTTTTTAATTAAATATCGGAAGAACGATGGACTCTTCGCGGAGTCTCACAACATTTCCGAGAGTTTTGAATTTTCCTTGCGTAACTCTCAGAGGCTCTCTGTTGTGTCGCTCGAGTTTTAACACGTTTAAAAAGAAATGCAACATTTTCTCTCAACAGAACAGACTACAATCAATTTATTGTCACAGTTTAAGATTGCTACTTTGATGCATCTGCAACATTTTTCACAAAAAAAAAATCATTAAACAACAAAAACGTACAAAGAAACACCTTCATTCATGTTGCTGCAATTCAGGAGTTTTTATGTCTGTCGTTCAACTTTTCAGGCCTCTGAACTGGCAGAAGGCCTAAAGAACCCTGTCCAGGGTCAGGGAGGTCAGAGGCGATTTTCTTTGCTCTGCAGAGACACCACGAGCTGGCAGCATCATTCAGGAAAGGCAACACTGCATTGGGCTTTTTTATTGGGTGTCTCCAACTCGTCTCCGGAGCGCTACAATTGTCCTCTGACAGACAACGGGTCCCAGCCTAAACACCACACCAATGATCAATAACGGTTATTAAAAACTTCTCTAAATCTACCGAGCTTCGCTTTAAAAGTGTACTCTGGTAGATTAAATAGGTAGAAGATTCTACCTTTACTCATCTGTCGGACCGTCTTTCTAACGGCTGCTGTGTTTCAACTGTGCTCTTTTTTTTTTTTTAATTGCACAAATGTTCAAGTCTTCTGTTTTGGATTCAGAAATGCAATAAAGGCTGGCATTAACTTTAAAATGGAAATGAGGATTAAATGGTTTATTATTCAGGGTCGTAAGGTTTGTATACCGTAAGTAAAACGGAATACTCTGAATAAACCAGACGCAATGGAGTACGGTCCAGTGTATGTCTTGTGCCAGGTACATGGTGAGGGTTGAGTCAGGAATGGCATCTGGTGTGATACACTTTGTGCAAGCTCGCATGTTTGTTTTTAACTAAACAACACCATACAAGATCAGTTGAGGCCTGGGTTAACAAGCTGGCTGGCATGATGCAGAGAAGGAAGGTAGATGTTTTGTGTCCCAAGAGACCAAGTGGAAGGGCAGCAAGGCTCGCAGTATTGGAGCAGGGTTCAAACTGTTTTACCATGGTGTGGATAAAAAGAGAAATGGAGTAGGGGTTATCCTGAAAGAGGAGTTTGCAAAGAATGTAGTAGAGGTGAAAAGAGTGTCACATGGGGTGATGTGTCTGAAGGTAAAAGTAGAAGGTCTGATGCTAAATGTTGTCAGTGGTTATGCTCCACAGGTTGGATGTGAGGTTGTCGGGGAAAAATAAATCTCGCTCGCAGATGTTTGTTTATTTTTTTTGTCTTGTTTAGCTCAGTCAGCATCTGTCGTGACATTTTTCTTTCTCGTTCTTCAGACTTTGATCACGTTTGTGAACAAACACCTGAACAAACTCAACCTGGAAGTTTCAGAGTTGGAAACTCAGGTAGGTTGCAGACTCACACCAACAGACATGCTCCTGAAATGTGACTCAAATCCATTATTAATTGAAAAAACAACAACAAAACAACAATACTTTTTTGATGGTTTTTACTAAGTTTTTCCTAGCAATCTAGAAAAAAGAGCAACTTCAAGATAATGCCATAATTGCACTCAGTAGATTCAAACCTTTATTTTTCAGTAAAAGTCCTTTGTGTTCAGTGTTCGTGCTGCTGTTTCAGTTTGCAGATGGGGTTTATCTGGTGCTGCTGATGGGTCTGTTGGAAGGATACTTTGTTCCACTCTACAACTTCTTTCTTACGCCAGAAAACTTTGATCAAAAGGTAAAACACCAACATTTTTCCTTCTTTAAACTCACAGTTACCTGCCAGGGAAATCAGCTGAAAAAGAGTTGTTTTGTTTCCTTGATAGAAGATTTAAACTCATCATTTTAAACGTATCACAGTCTGGACAGCTTTAACTGAGGTTAAACAGCTGGAGTGGGACAGTCTGACTTCTCATCAGAGGTTTACAGGAGTCTGTTATCCCTAATGGGGGAAAAAAGAAGAGTATTTGAGATGCACTGGTAATAATTATTTGTCATTTTCAGTTTTCAGGTCTTGTTGCTGAACTGTTGTTAAACTGACCAGATTTATTTACATTTAATTTATTTCACAAAGGAAACTGTTGGTTCATTAAAGAGCATACAAGTAATTTAGTTGATGAAAGCTAAATAGATTTTAGATTTTTTTTTAATGTAAATATTGAGGTTTTAGTAGCATTATTATATCTGTTGAGCCGCCTGGTGGTGCAGTTGGTCAACGCTGTTCCTTCAGAGCTGGGAGGTCCTGGTTTAGACCTCCAGCTGGTCCTTTCTGCAGGGAGTCTGCATGCTCCGGTTTCAGCCCACATGCCAAGAACATGCATGTATTATGAAATTCTTTATCAAAAGGGCTCGTGAAACGGTCGGCACAGATATTCAGACCAGAAGGAAAAATAAAACACAGAGGAAGCTGTCACTGCTAGGAGTAATAAGTGTCCTTTATTATCCTGCCACAGAAAACAGCCAAGCAAAAAACATGTACACTCTTAACACACAGATTGATATGAAATAACTTCTCACCGTGACACTGGCCGGGAAGCCGTTTTCGACCCAGGTAAAGAAGAATCACATCAAAATTGGTGTATGGCACCAGCGCGCGGCTGATCCATCACAGGACTTCCCGGCCAGTGTCACGGTGAGAAGTTATTTCATATCAATCGTGTGTTAAGAGTGTACATGTTTTTTTGCTTGGCTGTTTTCTGTGGCAGGATAATAAAGGACACTAATTTATCCTAGCAGTAACAGCTTCTGTCTTTTATTTTTTCCCTATTTGTCTGAATATGTGCCGACCGTTTCACGAGCCCTTTTGATAAAGAATTTCACAATACATTTTTGGCGACGAGGATGGGATGTTAAGAATTTAAATAAATAATTCTGAACGGCTGCACCATATTCAAACGAAGGAAAAAAAAAAGAGTGTTGAGAGAATGCGAGTTGCATTCTGGACAAAGAGTCCGTTGAAGTTGTGCCGGGTTATCCAACCCTGGCTTTGTGTTTAAGAGGTGGAGGGGACGCCCGAGCCTTTGTGTAAGAGTTTTAAAACAGAGAAAAAAGTTTATTCAGACGCCTGAGGAGGCGTGAGCTGAACGGAGAAAAAGTTGTACCGGGATGGGAAGAAGTCCCATCCCAGTTGTTTGTTTATTGTTTTTGAAGAGGGGGAAGTCCTGTGATGGATCAGCCGCGCGCTGGTGCCATTTTGCCATTTTGATGTGATTCTTCTTTACCTGGGTCGAAAACGACTTCCCGGCCAGTGTCACGGTGAGAAGTTATTTCATATCAATCTGTGTGTTAAGAGTGTACATGTTTTTTTGCTTGGCTGTTTTCTGTGGCAGGATAATAAAGGACACTAATTTATCCTAGCAGTAACAGCTTCTGTCTTTTATTTTTTTCCCTATTTGTCTGAATATGTGCCGACCGTTTCACAAGCCCTTTTGATAAAGAATTTCACAATACAATGCATTAACCGGTGTGTCTAAATTGGCCCTAGTTTAGGAGTATGAACGGTTGTTTGTGCGACATGCAGTTTGTTGTATAAAAACTTGCTTTAATTTGTGATCATTTGATCACTGCTGCATTGGATTTGTTTACTGGTTGTTTTACTGGTTTTGACAAAGTTTGACAACACTGACTTCAAGCTACAGATTTGAACATAACAAATACCTTTTTCCATTTGTAGATTTTGAATTGGTCCAGATGCAGTCGTGTTTTTGCGCAGCCAGAGATCTATGTGACTCATCTTGGTCCTGACCCACAGTTTAAGCAACACTTTTAAATCAATACTCTATTTCTGAGGAGCCTTGTGCACTCGGAGCCAAGATTCTCCTCTCAATAGCTTGATAAATGTCGTCCATTTTCCCCGGAGCCCATTCAGCTCTGTAGCACCGTGGTATTCTGAGCAGGCAATCTGCGGACACCACAGTAGCCTTTTGTTTGGGTTTTGGCCAGCGGTCCCTGCCAAGCTGCGGAGCAAAATGGGCATCGGTGGTAAAATGTACACAACGGCTCTCACACACAGATACTCCTGGCCCAGAAGAACCGGCAGCGTCTGTAATCTCCTACTGCACAGGGAAACACTGGAGTGGCTCAGGGGCTCAGCTCGCTCACTCTGTGTCTGTGTGTGTTCGAGGGCCTAGAGGCCTATCAACGATACACCAGGGGTGGGCATGGAGAAAGCACTCCTGCTTCTGCTCAGTGCATCTCTTCTTCAGGCTCTTCCTCTCTCTCTTTTTGTATCAGAGGGGTTTAGGTCATGCGTTTCACACAATAAGCCCTTGTTGGGCAAAGCTTTTAGTACTTCACAGCAGGGCGCTTACACACATACACAAAGGGCAGAGGATAGAAAACATCTTCCAGCTATTCGGCCTCTTCTCTCTGATTGGTTTCCCACTTAGTTTTTTTTTTTTTAGGTTGCAACAGAAGCCTTTTCAGAACAGAATCTCTGCTCATCCGATGCTGTAGATTTGAAAGTATGAATCACCTTTTATTTATTTTTTTTAAATCCATCGGAAGGAAATTCCAGCTGCGTGTGTTGAATAAACAGCACCTCTGACACATTTTGTCTGTAAATCATCATTTTAATCAGCGTTACCTCATTATAATGTGATCATTACTTTGTATTTAAATATATCTGTACTTGCAGTCACACGTGTTGCTCATTAACATGTAGTGATGTTAATGATGCACCAACAGAATTGTGATTACGACTGTGAGCGCTGCAAAGCCAATTTAAAATGATTCTTTCCAAAATCCTGAGCGTAGGATCTGTCAGGAATAAATAAAGCTAAATGTGTTGCTCTAGATCAGGGAGGGGCCCAATACATCGATCACGATCTACTGGTTGATCGCAAAGGTAGTATGGGTAGATCACATGGCATTAAAAAATAGACGGCAGCTGTTTTATAGGATAGATGATGTCTTGCATCATCTATCCTCACTTTGTAATTTGTCACTTGATTGACATAAGGGCAGCCAGTCAGAGGCTCCGTTTACACTACATGAAACATTCAGCCATTCATTCACAGACAACAGCCCTCATTCTCTCAGAAACCAAAGGTTTCTCAATCCAGATCTCAGAGTGGACATTTTAGGGGGAATCCTCCACGGAGATGTGAAATGCTCTGCAAGTGAAGTCGCACATGCGCACTACAGGCGGCTGCAGTCCAAAGGTTTTCTTCACTAACAACAGTTATAATAAACGGCAGAGAGCACAGTGTTTTTGTGCTGCTCGCCCTTTTTCAGCATGTAGGAGCAAAACTAATAAAACCCAGGGTCCAAAGAAACGTTGGTGTGTTCATCAGTTTGCAGACGCTGCATGTGCAATGAATGCATCCGAGTCCAGCATCAGGGTTGCCAGATAAATTTAGAATGTCCTATTTACCCCTTCCTTTTCTGTGCACATGCTCAACAAACACAACACACACCTCATCTTAGAATATCATTACTCAGCACATATGACAATTTAGGTCAAAGTACTATAAATTTAAAGCCACAGTACTATAGTTCATAATTTCTTATCTGGCAACCCGACTGATATGGAAACTAAAGCGTTTTTCGTGTAAACCTACTCATTTTTTGTTGATTACCAGTAAACATTGAAAAAACACTAAAGTTTCCGGAGGTTGTTATCATGTAAGCTGGGCCTTATATTATAGATCACTTTTGACTCTGTCATTTTAAAAGTAGCTCGCATGCTGAAAACGTGTGGGCACCCCTGATCTAGAGGGACCTGGATCAAAAGGGTGCAGCATAAGTCAGAATCTCACAGGACTGTCGCTGTTGGAGACTAGTTGTCAACTCAAAATTGTGAAAGAAGTTTGAGAATGTTCAGTCACACACAATTGTCAGTGTTTCTAGTCGTGCATCTGCGTTCTGTGTGGCTGTTGTTGAAGTCACCGCCCTTTTTTGTGCCCAGCTAAGAAAACTCCAGCTAGTTGAAGCCCAGATACTTGCGTTGTGACCTTTAGCTTGATAGAAGCCGAAATGCCTCCAAACTCTTCAGTTTCAATTCAGGAGTCTCCTCTGGTTTTGTCATGTCTCTGCTGTGTGCGGGCCACCAACCATCCAGGCGCTTGACCTGCTGTTTCCACTCAGTTTCATTCAATTTTTGACATTTTCAAATGCATTCAGAATCGTTCACGTCCAGATCGCGATGCATCTAAAACCAGTTTACAACCCTGGTGTTGTTCCATGAAGCTGCAGAGCGTTTGTGCAGCCGTTCAAGGCATTATTATACAATTTGCATGAATGCAAACACAGAACAGCTCTGCGCAGATAAATCCACCGGCGGTTCTTCTCAGGAGGGGCTTCATGTCTGCGTGTGACATGTTGGTGTTTCAGTTCGTCTTTCTTCTGTCTCCTGTCTCTGCTGCAGGTTCACAACGTGTCCTTTTCCTTCGAACTGATGCAAGACGGAGGGCTGGAGAGGCCAAAGCCCCGACCCGAGGGTACGATGCCCATTTGCTATTTTTTGCTTTGTCACAGCCTCAAAACGAAAAATTAATCCCATTTAATGCAAATAAGTCTTTTAATAAAAAAGTAACAGAATATCTCAAAATCAATCAAAACAAACACATGAACCAGTTTACATGACCCATAAATAGTTTAATTCATTTTAATTTATTCTATACGTTGTTTAAGTGTTTAATCTTTGACTTTTTTAAACAATACAGCACAGTAGTGTGCAAAAGTTTTAAGTCACATTTTACGTCTGTACATTTTCAGTTTTAATTTAGGAAGATTTTACTGGGGTTCAGACCTTTCAGAACAAAACTAATTGGCCTGTTGAACAATGTTTAGTCGGGTCATCTGGACAGTTTCTTTTTCTTTTTTTTTTTTTGTTGAGACGGTTCGTCCTTCATCCAAAGGACTTCATCATTACAAGAAGCCACAACAAACTAAGTCCCACAAACCGCACACTCATAGTGGACCAACCAGTTTGCTGGTGATGAGATGGTTTCTGGAGTCCGCCCTCTCCCCCATCGACTTCTCTGAGACAGTCATAGCCAAAGTGGTTCAAAACATCAAAGTTCATGCTCAGTAATCCAGGTAAAAAAAAAATCCAACAAAGTTCAGTTATGTCATCTGGACTTTTTTTTTTTTTTTTTTTGAGACGCTTCGTCCTTCATTCAAAGGACTTCATCAGTGCGAGGAGCACTTTGGCTATGGCTGCCTCAGAGGAGTCGACGGGGGAGAGGGCGGGCCCCAGAAACCATTTTATAACCAGCAAACTGGTTGGTCCACTATGTGAGTGCGCTGCTTGTGGGACTGAGTTTGATGCGGCTCCTCGGACTGATGAAGTCCTTTGGATGAAGGACAAAATGTCTCAACAACAAAAAAGAAACCATCCATATGACCTAACTGAAGTTTTTTGGATTTTTTTACTCAATTATCATGACCTTTGATAATTGGCTTATTTATTTATTTATTTATTTGTTGTTTTAACTCATTTTCTGTGCAGTCCTGTTCCTGACCACGACGGCATATTTTAGATTGAGCTGATCCTTAAATTTATAAACAAGTTAACTAAATCCAGTGGAAATCAACACCTTTCAACTGAGGAAAAGTTATTTGCATAAACATCCAGGTGATAAAACAGAACCGCTGTACAACCACGGGCAAATAAAGAACCCTGTTTGTGGTTTAAAGAGGTTGTAAAACGAAATGATTTTGAGGTTGTGCACACTCAGCACATTTGTTCTGTGCACTTTGATACACAGATAAACAATTGTTTACTCTTCCATTCTTTGTTGTTGTTTCCTTTAGATATTGTGAACTGTGACCTTAAATCCACGCTGCGTGTCCTGTATAACCTCTTCTCCAGGTACAGAAACGTGGACTGAGCTTCAAAGGGAACCCGTTAACACAAACTTATGAATGTTTTTATCTTCTTTTATATATATTTGTACCCACACGAATCACATTTCTCCTTTTAGTTAATGAAACTCAACACATTTGTATTCACTTTAATTTCTGCAGACATTTTATTGGTGTTTTGTTACAATTGAAGCTTTACAAAAAGCATTTTGAAGCCATAAAAGTTAGTTTATGATGAGTTATCGGTTGATTGTTTAGCAGCATTTGTTTTCACCCAAAATGTTTAAATGTATTTATTGTACATTTTGATACACTTCTTAATTTTTTTTCATTATTTCATTCTGTTGTCACTCATAAGTGCCTTTATTTAAACATAAAAACTCTGTCGGCTCCTGACATACCGAGAGGAATTTACTCCTCAGTTGTCTTAAAGCTCCAGAATTTTATTAATATTATTTAGACGGGGCTCCTAAATAGTCTTAAAGTCTAGAAAGTATAAATTTTGTTTCTAGTATTTTTCATGTCTGGCTAAGTATTAATTTTATTTTTTATTTTTTTTAACCTGATGTTTTTGCTAGAAAATAAAAACTAAATTTCTCAAAGTTGCTTAAACAAAAGTATTTTTGACAAGTTTGGTTGTTGTTTAAAATGTAAATAAAAAGTAGGGACGCACCGATCCACTGTTTTCACTTCCGATACCGATATCGTTTGTTTGCTGTGATTCGATACCGATCCGATACAGGGACACATAACCGTGCAGAATTAACTTAAAACATTTTGTTTTTTAAACGCAGACATAAATGTACTGAATTTCAAATTTATTGAAAACTGCACCAGTACAGCACAACAAAAGCTTCACGAGCTTGGTCAAACATGTAAAAGCAACACTAATTTGTTCAGTCTGCGCGATTATGAGTATAACATCAAATGTAAAATAAATAATAATAAAAATACTGAAACTGACAAAAACAATAGGTTGACAACTTTGGTCAAACATGAAAAAATAAACTTCAACAAACCTTTCAAATGGTTCAGGAATTATAAATATAATGTATAATAAAGGAGTTGAAATAAGAGGCTAAAACAATAGCATCACTAGCTTGATTGGCAGATATTTAAAATAAACAGCAGCTCCTGTCCTTTATGGATCAGTCACATTATCATGATACTCGATCAAGACTTTTTCGACACCGATACTAACATCTGAAATGTACGCCTCTACCGATATTCATTCAAGAACTTTTTGGGCGATATTGGTGCCGATGCCAATATTGGATCGGTGCATCTCTAATAAAAACTACCAGGTAAATACAGGGATTTACAAATCTCATAAACATATATTTTATTCACATTGGAACATAGTAAACATATATTTAAACAAAAAATTGCTCTGCAAAACATCTAGTCTAAAATTAGTGGAACAGTTCCAGACTAACGTTGCTCAATGGAAAATTAACTTTGTCCCAACTTTGAGATATGTTGATACAAAATCCTATTTTTTCCTTTAAAAATTGTTTCATTTTAAACAGTTAAATTCACTGTGCACTAAATATGTTATTTACAAATTGTTACATTCTGTTTTTACTTTACATTTTAAACAACGTCCCAGTTTTTTCATTGTCGGGGTAATTAAATAAAAACATATTCACTCTGTCGACATTTCGTTCACACAGCCAACTTCTAGATTTTAAAGACAAAACAAAGAAAACGGTTTGCTGTGAGATACTTTGCATGAACGCAGAAGCAGATACAGGCTCATGTTTAATAACTCCAAAAATAATTGTTTCATGCTGTTGGAAGATTTTGTAAGATTCAAAATGTATTTTTCTTGATAAATAAATAAATTATATTTGTGTTTTCTCTAAATTTATCTAAAACAAAGCCTTATGTATGGAAAAAATATATATATTTTGAAGTTGACGATGGCTATTTATCCTCATAATATAAAATCAGAAGTAAAAAAAAGAATCTTGGAGGAAAAAGCCTTTTCCATGTGCAGTAAATTGGCATACAGATAAACTAGACCTTCTTTCAAACGGAAAGAAAAATAAATAAATGTAACCAAATAATTCTGAAATTTTTATTTTTTGGAGAAGTCCGAAGTTTCAGAACAAACTGTGTGAAGCCTGAGTCGATACATTCGACCAAAGTGTTGTTGTTTTTTTAATTCTCTGTTTAATACAGAAAGATTTTATGCAGTAACCACTGCTTTCTTGCTTTATATCTTGTATAATTTTTAATTTAAGGTGCATCAACCTCATACGTTTGTATCAAGGACACATTAAAGACGATCTGCTCGAGTTGAAACTTGACTGAATCTATAAAGTTTTTGTTTTCTTCTCTCAAACAAATCTCCCGTCGTCGTTTTGAACCCGCTTCCTGTAACGATTCTGTTTAATGTTCTGATGCTTTGCATTTAATAAATCGTTCACTCTCTGGACGTGGCTCCGTATTTCTGCCCCTCTAAAGACGAACGTGTTTCAAGCAAAGAAACAAAAAATAAAGAGGTCAAAGTGGTGCTAGTTTCTTAGTCCGGAAAGACAAGCGAAGCTTCACAACAATTTGCTTTTCACTAAATGGAGACAGACGGTCAGAGAAGCTTCCTGAATCAGAGCTGACCCCAACGTAGACCAAAATAGACAGAAGATCTCCTGAATAGATGAAAAGGTTCATTTCTCCACACATTCCTCTGTAGCCTTTGAAAAGGTGTGTGGGGAGAGGGGGGTGTTGATGTATTATTGATAATTCTCGGCTGATACCCACACGCGCTGCCGAGGCATTCGGACCGAGGTGGTTTTGATTCTGTGTTGCTTTCCAATTAATTTTGTGCTCATTGTGTGTGTCCTTAAAACATGAGGTGAAAAATGCTTTTCAGCCGCGGCATGTTTCGCAGCGACCGCTTTGTGCCGCTTGTAATTTAATTTTCAGGTGAGAGTTTGAGAGAAAAGGCTGGAGTGTGTGAGCACCGGCGGGCCGCAGAAGTTCGCCCACTTCACAACAAGAACAAACAAACTGGAGCTCTGAGTGATTTAAATCAACCCAGAAAGAAATCCTACAAAAAATTATTTTATATGACGTTCTGCTCTTGTTTCAATCATGATATGAGCTTAAATTAAGATTGTTTGAAATTTGGACAGATTAATTGTCTGTAAACAAAAAAAAAATAAGAAGAATAGACAGCTAGAGTAATGCACTTTGCAATATTTACACAGAGAGCTGAATGACTGCTGAAATTAGCTAAAGCAGCTAAAACTGAGTTGGTAAAAGTAAAAGTAGAACACAAGCTAAAAGCTAAAATAAGCAAAACAGCTGGAAACAAAAAAATAAACTGGCTACAAGTAGCAAAGCTCTATCTAAAATCAGCAAAATGCAAGCTAAAAGTAACAAAAGACTGGCAAGAAGCTAAAAGTAGTTAAAAGCTAAAAAGATCAAGGTGCTAACAAAAAGTAATCAAAGTTTAACTGGAAGCTACGGTAAAGGAGGCAGAATGCTAGCTAAAACAAAACGTATCAAAAGACCAAACAAAACTATAATTAGTAAAAGGTTAGCTAAAAAAAATAAAAGCAGCAGAGTTGAGTTTTTGTCAACTAGAAGTTACAAATAGGGAAAAATGCTCAAAACTAAAAGTTAAAGTAGCAGAGTCACAAAATGATGTCCAAATAAAACAATAGTGGCTTAAACCTGAAGTATCCTGAAAGACGCACTGTATTTTTCAGATTATACAGTACATTAAGCGAAACAAAACAGATGAGTCAAACTTTATTCAACTCATTCACAATAACCACATAAAATCGGTTCGAGGTCAGTAAACACAACCAGAGTTAATACATAAGGCGCACCTGATTATAAGGCTCACTGTCGATTTTTGAGAAAATTTAAGGATTTTAAATGCGCCTTATAGTCCAAAAAATACTGTAAACAGGGCCAGTTTGCTGAAGCAGATTTCCAAGAGACATGATGTTTTTAAAGAAATTGAAGAGATCTTCCTATATTTATATGGGGAGTTTATAAATCGTTACATATTTAGAAAATATGTTATAAAACCTAAAAGTCAGAGCATGAATCCAAACGGGTGGAACGTTTTGATTTGTGAATGGCTAAGATGGCACAAATTATGCAGAAGTAGTTTGTAAAAATGTTTCGGAAATAAATAAATAAAAGTGGAAAACAAACGTTTAAACGCTGAATCTGAATTCTTGCAACAAGGACGACCAAGTAAAAAACACGAGGTTTAAACTGTGATCCTGGCATCGTCCACGTCTCCTGGAGCTGATGACGTTTTTCAGAACCACGAGAGAAGCAGCTCTTTACCGTCTTCAATCAGAGGAATGTGGCCGTGGACCCACGCGAGCCTCGCTTACAGAGCAACAATGTTAACAATAATGCAATAACAATAATGTAATGGGTAATAACCAGAGCGGCTGAAGTGCTCCCTGGGCGAGGGAGTGGAGAGGAAATGATCAGAACGGGCTTTCAGAGTTCCCAGGATCGCCTGTGAAATGAGTGTATCCAAAATGGCAATCACCACCGGATAATGTTACCGTCAGGAGATGTTAGAGTGAGCTCAAAACATACGGCTGGCACACGGTCACTCTATACAAATGCTTTTGTCATGGTTCACAAAAAACGGAGGTTTTCATGGTGAAATATATCTCATGTCTTGATTGTTGCTGTCATTGACACAGCTGCTCGAGCTGTTTGGTTATTTGGATTGTTCTTATCTGTGAGGTACCTGCCTCACGTGTGTGAACAGTTGTCAAACAAGCAGAGGGGAGGTAAAGCTGCACTGCTTGGTGTTCTCTACGTATCAAAACTGGAAGAAGCATTTTTAACTGAGATGTGAAACGTCAAAACAAAAATCTGCACCATCTGCCTGTTTGACCTGGGGTTGCATTTCTTCTTGCGTCCACATCCTGGAAGGTTGGTTACAGTCCCATGTAGGCCTGTCGCAATAAACAACAAATCAATTAATCGCACGATAAATTAAAAATGGCGACCTCATTTCCTTTATCTGCTTTATCGTTTTCTCATGTCTCTCTCTTTTTACTGAAGACACTGGATGACAAAAGGCTCAACTCCGGTGCTCTACTGACCCCTCCCTTTCGCTTTTCTCGTTAAAATTCGTTTTAACCATATAAAATCGCATTTTTGGATCATTTAAAGCAGCTAAGCTAACAGGCCGACCTTGGGGAAAAACCTCTGTCTTGTCAAAGCTCCAAAATTCTCGGTTGAAACCGGGGGCTTCGTCTAAAAGTTGTTTTTCTCTGCAAAAAGAAGCTGAGAACTTCCTTTTTAAAATTTTTATTAAAAGCTTTGT